AATCAATATAATTTTATTATATGTATATCATTTGTTAAATAAAAATGTTAAATATTTTATAAAATATATACATGACAAATAACCATTAATCAATTCTAAACTATTTTTAGGCTTTTCGATAAAAATATATATTTTTTCATATCTTTTTTATTGAAAAAATATTGATAGTATTTATGATAAATACATAAATAATTAACAAATTAAAATTTCGATTAATATGATACATAAATTAAAATGTTAGTATGTAAATTATATATTTTATGAAAGTTTAAAGTATAAATTATTTATTTTATTTCATTAGATTTTAATTTATATATATATTTTTTCAAAATTCAATTACCTACATAGATACAATTGTTTTGGTCAACTGTTACTGTATTTATTTTATATGGTATTCATTTTGCCACATCATTATTAGAGAAAATTTTTGTCTAACTTTGAAATGCTTGGCATTATTGAAGAAATTTCCTAGACCTTTTCTCTCGAGGGAAAAATCTCCGATATCTACGCATGTATATACGATACGTATATACATATGTATATTCCATTTGTAATATGTATGTCGAAATCAAGTAAAATTAATGCCACAAAGAAATTAAACCGTAACCCGTAGAATGCATTTTTCACCCTAAGTGACTTAATAATACTAGGATTATTTCTTTAAAAAAAAAATAATTTCATTGAGAATATACAAATTTTAAATAAATTTTTCTCATAAAAAATTAATAAAACTTCGATATAAATTCAAACTATGTCTTATATAGCATTTTAATCCTATATCGAGATATTTTGAGAATCTATTATATAATATATAAATAGATGTTTAAATTTAAACTAATAAAATATTTTTTGTGAGATAAAATTATAAAATTAATAGAATAATTTAGGAATACAACATCCGCAGTTATATTCTATATAAATAAAATTCATAGTTATATTATGTTATAAATTTTATACTTCTATGTACTCTATGTATCGATCATAGATTATATATCCTACAAATTTGTCTTTTTTTTTTTTTAATTTTTCGTACAAGTTACAAAAGTATAAAAAAGATTATCTTTATATGTGTATTTAAGTTTTGCTACTTATATTTGATTTTATCTGATCATTGAACGAATATTTAAATCATTGAGTAAAATTAAGTAGAATTGAAATCGATTTAAAAATTAAAAGTTTCAAATTCAAATTTTAATCGTAACTCATAACATAATATAAAAACTAATTGGTTCTTTTAAATGAATTTTCAAGTGAAGAGAAAAAAATCTAAACAAAACTTACATGAAAATTTTTAAATAAAGTTTATGAAATTTTTTTATAAATAATTTAATAAAAACTTAACAAAAAATCTAAATTGATAATTGATAGGTTTAATGTGAAAATCAATATTATATAAAAAATTTTATTTATAATTTAAATTTAATCAATACTTATTTAATAATAAAAATTCTATCAATATTTTTATTCAAAATATCTATATAAAAAATATATCAAAATTTTTTCAAATTTTATACACTTGATTTATATAATAAAACCTTTTAATTTATTGATTTTGATTTTTAATATTAATTTTTATTTAATAATTTTTAATAAAAAAATTTACGAATTTCACCTAAAATATTTCTATCTAAACTTTTTTCGAAAAATCTTAATTTGGTTGAACTTGTCTAGGTACGAAGTTAGCAACTTAATATTAGGCTAAAAGTTGTGATTCGGGTTTTAACGTTTATAAAAATATTGCAAATCCAGCTTCTGAGCTCTTGGAAAATGCCAAAGTCCGAGTCATCCTCAGTGCTCAAACATCAATATTGGAAGCAAAGTTTTTGGCTGAATTCGGAGATAAGACAAAAATTCCAGTAATTTCCTTTCCTGCTGCCTTTGGCTCTTCTCCACCCTTGAACAATTACCCACACTCCAATATTCCAATTGCACAAGATGAAACTGCTGAAGTTAAAGGAATTTGTGCTGTTATAGAAATGCACAACTGGGAAAATGTTATCCTCATCTATGATGATAATGACAATTGGAATGGTTTCTTTGAAGAGAGAAAAATTCACATTGCAAATGAAAGCGCAGTGGCTACCTCAGCTCAAGAAGATCAAATCATTGAAGAACTTCATAAGCTGAAAGCAATGCAAACTGCAGTATTTGTTGTGCGTGTTTCACATGTCTTAGCATCTCGTCTTTTCTTAAATGCTAAAAGGTTGGGAATGATGAGCGAAGGGTATGCATGGATCGTGACTTCGAAGAGCATGAATCACTTTCAGTATTTGACAGATTCATCGATCTTTGAGTCGATGCATGGAGTCCTTGGTTTCAGGTCTTATATTACAGAATCGAAAGAGCTCCAGAATTTTACTTCAAGGATGATGAAAGAAGTCTATGATAAGGAGCTTGATGTAGTACAAATGATGAACCTAAGTTTATTTGGTGTATGGGCTTATGATGTGGCTTGGAATCTTGCAAAAACAGCTAATAGCTTGGTTCTTAAAACTCCTGAAATCAGTGATCCACATGCCAGATTGAACTGGATGGATTTTGACAACTCCGGGACAAATATTCAAGGTTCGATACTTCTGCAAGAGATGTTCCAAAACAATTTTCAATTCATTAATGGAAAGCTAATTTCAAGCACATTTGAAATAGTAAATGTGATGCGTGAAGGGGAAAAGAGAGTCGGTTTTTGGACTTCTTCAGGCAAAATCACTAAGAAATTACAAGGATCCACACATGGAAGGCATCTGTCTTCCATCAATGACCTTGAAACAATAATCTGGCCTGGTGGGACTTCAACCATTCCCAAAGGTCGGATGATGCAAATGAGCGGTAACATCCTAAGGATCGGTGTTCCAGTAAAAAAGGGGTTTACGCAATTGGTGAAAGTGGATCGTGATCTTCAAACCAATACTACGATTGCCACTGGTTTCTGCATAGATGTTTTCAAAGCTGCATTGGAGGGTTTGAAGTATGAAGTGCAATATCAGTTTGTCCCCTTCGTGCAGGATAGTAACAACATTGGTGGGGATTACGATGATCTTGTTTACCAAGTTTATCTCCAGGTATGATTCTTAATTCTTAATTTTGTAGTTCGTCTGGAGATAATCTGTTCTAGAATCTAAATTAAGAAGGAAGTTCCACTATATATATTAACAAAAATTATCTGGTTCATAACAATTATGGACTAATTTAATATAGTACTTTTCTCCATGCAACTTGCTTTTTATTGACCTGTGATTTTTTTTTTTTTTACATGTTGGATGACAAAATAGAAGTATGATGCTGTTGTTGGGGACACAACGATCACAGCAAATAGATCTTTGTATGTGGATTTTACCTTGCCATATACTGACTTAGGGGTCGGAATGGTAACTCGGCTAACTCTGAAAGAAAGCAAAACTTGTGGATTTTCTTGAAGCCACTTACACGAGAACTCTGGCTAACAATTGTTGGAGTTTATCTCCTAACGGCATTGGTTATTTGGCTGATTGAACGTCCTGCACCTATTGAACAAGGCCCTCAATCTCATCGGCAAGTTGGAAGGATACTTTGGTTCTCCTTCTCCATCCTTGTTTTTGCACATTGTAAGCACTCTCATGCATCCATGTTACAATCCAAAGTAAGATACATGTTGAAACTGAAATGCCTGATGAATTACAGACAGATTGGTCCATTGTTCAACAATATCAGGCAGTTGGGTGCTCACAAAGTTCATCTAGCAGGAAATTTTGTACATTCGAGTTGACATTCTTTTAATGTGATTGCAGGGGAAAAATTATCAATCAATTTGTCAAGATCCATGGTTCTCTTGTGAGTGTTTGTAGTGTTCATATTGGGTTCAAGTTACACCGCCACTTTGACATCAATGATGACAGTCCAACATCTTGAATTGAACTCAAAGATGAGCAATATAGGACATCAACTTGGTCCTGTTACCCAAGAAGTTATCAGCAATCTAAATTTTGTAAATACTAGTTCTATATGGTTGTTTTCACCTGAAGATTATGCAAACGCTTTATCAAAAGGTAGTAAGAACGGTGGCGTCTCTGCTATCATTGATGAGATACCATACATCAAGATCTTCCTAGCAGAGTATTTTGCTCATTATTCCATGATCGGGCCCATAATGCCTACCACCAATGGATTTGGCTTTGTAAGTTATCAATTCCTCTAGAATCCTGCAAGCATGCATTATTCAAAGAAATTGTTAATATGAAATGCAAAATTAACCGACATAATATAAATGCTGTATATGTGTTAACCATGTGGTCTCTTGGTAGAGTATCGAATTCTTAATTTCAATAATTTGATTTAATCTCAGACGGCCTCATTTAAAAAAAAAATGCTGCAGATTATCAGTCCTGGTGTTTAACTTTATGTCAAAATTTTCAGGTTTTTCCCAAGGGTTCACCCTTGGTCCCTGACATATCAAGGGAAATTGCAAAACTACGAGAAGATGGGAGGCTTCAAATGCTTGAAAATGCGTGGTTCAAAAGTCCGACGGCTTTTGCCTCAGGGGAAACATCAAACAGTGTCAATCCACTTACAGTAGGTGACTTTCGTGGTTTGTTCCTTATCAGCGGAACCTTTTCAGCTTTAGCCTTTCTCTTGTTTTTTGGTTCTGTGATTCAGAGAAACAGGCATATTGTGAGAAATTGGAGACGACCTGAGTTTGTAAAACAGTATGTCTCCATGATAATTTCCAAAAGCAGTAGAGAATCCAATATAATACACCCACAGTTTGCTGATGTATAAGTTTGTGAAGTAATACATTACCAGCGTTCAATACATACATCGTTGAGAACAGAAGCAGTTATCCATCGGGCTTAACTCCAGGTTCTTCTTTGGATTATCTTAAAGTGAAGTTAAATTACAATCAATATTATTGTGTGGTACATAAATTTGGATTCAACCCCCCCCCCCCCCCCAAAAAAAAAAAAAAAAAAGAAATTTGGGTTGGGTTTAGATAAAAACATCAGAGATTCTAACATCAGGTTTGGACAGAGCAGACATCGGCAGCAAGATAACGCCAGAACCGCAGGACAATGTCGTAATCCAAGCAAGTTGGGGGCATTTTAGTGAATCTATCACTACATAAAGGACACACTTATTTTCAGGCCCACGCCCAGTCCCCATCACGTGAACTCACATCCATATTTGACTTCCCAGCAACCTCCTACAATGACCCTTCTAGCCTCCCGTCCTCCCTGTACGTTTTCTTCACCCGCCTTAAACCCAAGGTAACAATCCGGTACAGTTGTGAACATCGAAAGGACTAATTTGGTCTTGTACTCTTTGTACCTTTGTGTTTTTCGTCTCTTTAATGAATTAATGTTATCATGTCTTGTACCTAAATACAAAGTGTAAGATTTGGACCGTTGGATCAATCCATTCGTATCCCGATCCCAGACAAAGAGGCGGATATCCAAACGGTACCTTCAAATCACCAATTACGCCAAAGCTCTTTTCACACCTTGGTAATTGTCACTAATCAGTCCTTTTCCTTATGTTTATCTTCTTGTTCTTTTCTTTTACCGGGATTGGCTTGAAAACTGTTGAAATTATCCATTGTTTTTCATCCTTAATCTTCTTTTCTTGTCTTCCTTTTTTGGAGAAGCTCTCTCATTGCTATCACTTTTCTTTCCTCCAAAAGTTTGGTTTTGACTATGCAGCAGTTCAAGTGACCAAGTGGTGCTTTCTGCTTCATTTTTGTGGTTTCTTTGTGCTTTAATATCAACTTTTTATGTTTTTTTTCCTAATTGAAGAATTGGGTTTGGATCTGGGAATTCAGGTTCAAAGTTGTTCATAAAGGGTTTTTGGAACTTTGTTTAGATTCTCTCTTTTTTTAGTGAATTTTAAGGTTAGGGTTTTCTATGCTTGTAAAGTTTTAGCATATTTGAACCTTTTTGCTTTGAATTGTTTTACTAAGACTTGGTTTTTAGGCTTGAGTGAGGAAACTGAACTTTTTTTCTTCTAGAAATGTTAATATTGTTTTAGTTTGGACTTGGTCTTGATTACTGGAAATATGTAGAAATCAAAGACTTGAAAATTTTGGTTTATTTCCGACGTTGTTGGAGTTTTAACCATAGTAGTGGTTGTTGAAACAACCCTTGATTTGTTTACCTTTCGTTTTATCTCCTTTAAGTTTTGATTTAGCAAATTCAGCTGTTCACTTTAATTTTAAAATCCAATGAAAATTTCTAATTTGCTTTTGATTTTTTAATAGAAAAATTTACAGATCTTGAGATGTGTGATAAGTTTTGTAAATACTTCATTTTTAGTCCTTGTAAATTGTTTATAGCTTAATCTAAGTCTTCATAAAACGCACGATTACATAGAAAAGCTCCCCCTTTTCTAGCTTGTGAGCTATGGAGACTCCAGAATTTCCGGTGAGTTTCTGGTGATTAACCTGATGCATTTATAATGAAAAATATAGATAGGATTGTAAAGGGTCGCAAGTTATTTTCTTGTCATTTAGATCAAAGTCATAATCTGTCACTGCATGTGATATCACTTCTTTTCAGTATCAATGCTTACAAAATTATGTTTTATGTAAGAATAATATCTTGTCACGAATTCTAAGCTGTTAACTTGATATTTTAACTTTTGGTTATCCACATGTGTTTTTAATTATCCGAAGTACAAAATCCTGTCTGTTGAAAAGAAATTCCATCTCCTTCATTTATGTTAGCAAACATTACATATTTCTGTCAGCAATACTGTATTAGATCAGTCCTTTTTGTCTTTGGTACTATTCCTAGGGCAGAAATGTTCTTAGATGTCAAACTGTCAATATGTCTATGGAGATTTTTTGCATAGAGCATTATGTAGTTATGGATGATTTCTGGATGGAATACACGATTTTTTTGACATTTGTTATGCTTAATTTTTCAGGATTGTTAGAACCATGAGTTTTGGATTCATTTCTACTGCTTTTGGGTCAATGGAAGCTGAATTTATAACCTTCTATGACAGTTATATTATTTTGACATTCAAAACAGCTTGTGCTTTCTATATCAGTAAGCAAACTATTATATTTAGTGCATCTTTTCTGTTAACTAATGCTTCTCTGCAACATATTCTTAAAATGTCACAATTTTCTTTGCAGATTTTAGTTTGAGATTTGGCACATTATCAATTGACAACGAGAGAGAGCACGTTTGTCGGCATTCATGCAAGGACATGGATGTGTACAAGCGTGCTCTCTATCGTCGTCATATGATCTGTACAAAGCTGTCTTTCTCAATATCTATGTCTATTACTGCAATAGCTAGCAGGTGATTCTAATTACTTATTCAGCTTGAATATCAAATTTGCTACAATTTTTTTTTAAAGAAACATTAATAATCAATTGCTTGCTATTGTAGTAATAAATGTTGTTTACATTTACCTATACTTCTTTCTAATCATTTATCAATGGTTGGTATATTAATTTTCTGCCCGATTCATTCAATGCTTCATCTACTTGTATATATTTTTTGTTTGGTCATTCATTAATGCCTGCGTTGCTATATAAAATTTGAGTGTTTGGCTGATAAGAAATAACATAAAAAGAAAATGAGTGTAGTTGAGATGAAGATGGTTAAATGGACGTTTAGTAAGACTAGAAGAGAAAAAAATCATAAATAAAAAGATTCGAGAAAAATTATGGGTAGTATGAATTGAGGAAAAGATGAGAGAGGACTGTTTAAGATAGTTTAGACATATGAAATGTAGGCTTATATGTGCACCAGTTATGAGAAATGAGCTTCTAAATTTAGAAGAGACCAAAACTTTTATAGGTAGATCATGAAAGACACAAGTGCAAGTAATAAAAAATGATATGAGGGATAAAGAAATAGATGAAAATATGATTGTTGATAGAAATAAGTGGCTCAAAAAGATTCAAAACTACAGCAAAGCTATCCAAAGTACAAAGACTAAACTTTGTGATAGCCAGTTCTAAGACAAGCTGAAAGTTTGGATTTTGAACAGTAATAATCCAATATAGTCTTCATGACCATTAATTGGAGCAGGACACCTAACTGACCTGCCCCTTTGTTGTTCTTTTTATTTTTGGGAGGGGTGGATTGTTGGAAAAGGCCATGCTGTCCATGATGGAGCATGGAGCATTGATAGAATTGGTTCAAAAATTTTAATCCTCATTTGAAGCCAAAGACCAAGGTGATTTCAACAGGTCTTTGGTATTATAATTTATCAGCTAAGTTGATTTTTGGTGTGTAAGACTATTTTAGTAATTTTGTTGTCTTCCAGCAATAGGCTTTGTTGTGGTCTACTTGGTCTAGTATTGGGTTTACTTAGGTTTTTAGGGCTTTTGTTTTTGAAGTAGTCTTTTTTTTTAGTCCCGAATCTACCCTTAAACCTCCCTATCCCATTATATACCCGGTTGAAGAGGACATTACCCTCCTAAGCTCTTTCGAATCTGTAACCTTCAAGTGTCAATTCCATGACATGCCAACTGATCTAAGGAATAGTTGGCTTGTTTTTGAAGTAGTCTAGAAGTCTTTATAAGTACCTATATGATTTTCATATTTCTCCAGGCTTTTGTTTAAGGAAATTGATATTACTTTGGTTTATCTAGGCCTATATATATATGTATGTATGTATGCTTAGAAAGATAGTTTGTGCTCTTTGCTCTCTTTGCCATCTTCTTCTCTCTTTATTGCTGCACTCTCAGCATACTACTGTTCATAGCACAAAATAGCCCTTTAAACTGCTATATTCATATTTTGCTAGTGCATGAATTTCTAGCACACTTTTGATTCACAGTTGATTCAATCCAGAATTGATTCTGAAATGTTAAGGTTTTGTTTTACAATTGCTACAGACTCAAAACCCTTTTCTACCCTTAGCCCACCACCATAAGCCCTAATAAGGTAGGTTTCCTCCAGATCTAGAGCTGCTAGAAATTGCAGGTTTTGAAAGTTTAAGGATTTTATTTTAGTGTTTTCCTTGTGTTAAGAGTTTTTTTAGTCAAATTGGATAATTTCCTATTGATGGTCTGAATCTTTGTTGAAGTCCTTATTGGATTAGGAATGATAGCAGCCTACATATATACTTATGTTTTTGCTTTTCCTTGCAATAAAGAACAAGTTTACGATGTTTTCTTTGGACTTTCCGTCTAGCAAATTCTAACCAATCCTACTTCAGGGAAACCATCAGATTTCAACCATAACCCTAATTTATGAACTTTAGAACCTAGGGTTAGTGCAAAACCCATATTTTCATAAATTTCTACCACATTTTTCTGGGATAACTGAAATGGTTCATTCACCAAAAGGAAGCAAGAATGTTGGATAACTTACTATAATGAGTGCAAAAGCTGTAGAATAGCATTGACCCAATAGCAACAAACAGAGAGAAAATCAAGACATAGCCCTCATGAAATGGCAAAACAAAACATCTAATGTTCAATCAAACCCCAACTTTGGCAGAAAGCTTTAGTTGAGGCTTGTTGTTTATATTGGGGAGACAGTTGAATGTAACTTCCATGATATCAGCTGAAATACTTGGAGGGAGCTGAGGACTTTTTTCCATACTCCCTGGTGTTCCTTTGTTTCCAAATAAAGGAGATATAGCCTGAACAAGCGACCTTTAGGATGACTGTTAATTAGGTTTTGCCTTTTTATGAATATTTTTGCCACCAAAGCTAACAATCCATGTCCATAATCCCTAGTTGTTTTTACTTCATATAAATAAGAGGGCGTAAAACCCAAATTTACCATTGCACTTAGGATACAACAACAACAAACTAAGTCTTGTTTTTGATAACTTTGGGGTTGCTTGTATGAAAGGTAAAAAAAAAAAAAAAAAAAAAAGAATCATATTAGGTCATAGTTTGGAATCATCTTTTGCATCACTCATTTCTAAAAAAAATAATTTTTTTATCTATTTTCTTAACCCATAAGTCATTTCTTATTACTTGCATCCACGTATTTTATAGTCTATCTCTAGAAGTTTTAGTCTCTTTTAAATCCAAAAACCCATTTCTGCTAATTAGTGCATAGATAGGCTTACGTTTTACATGTCAAAACCATCTCAAATGGCCATCTCTTATTTTTTCCTCAATTCCGACTACTCTAAGCTTCTTCAAATCTCTTCATTTTTTATTTTATCTCTTCCAGTCTTACCACACATTCATCTAAATATCTTCATTTTAGCTACGCTTATTTTCTTTTTATGTTGTTTCCTAAAGGTTTAACACTTAGTCCCATATAACAAAGCTAACCTTACAATTATTTTATATAACTTCACCTTTAATTTCAAAGGCATGTTATGATCACACAACATACTCGACACATTTCACCACCTCATTCATCTTACTTGAATCATATGATTTACATCTCTTTTTATCTTAGCATCACTCTAAATCTCAGATATTGAAAATGATTACTCTTAGGTATTACCTCACCATCCAATTTAATCACATTAGCACTCTCTTCACTATGACTTCTAAACTTACATTCCATATATTCAGTTTTAGATTTACTCAATTTAAAGCATCATGACTCCAATGATGCCATCATAATTCTTATTTTATATCAGGGTCATCACTAGTTTCAGCAGCTAAGATTATATCATCGACAAATAACATATACAATGACACCTTATCTTAGATATGTCCAGTGAGCTCGTTTGTAATTAATGCAAAAAGAAATAGACTTAGTCTTAAGCCTCAATGTAATCCTAAGGTAATTGGAAAGCTTTCAGTCAAGTCCTCAAATGTCTTCACATTTGTTACAAATCTTTTATATTTATCTTTAACTATGTTAATGTACTTTAAAAAAACTCCTTTCTTCATTAAGGCCAACCAAAGTACCTTTCGAGGAATTCTATCATATGTTTTCTCAAAGTTGATAAATGCCATATATAGATCTTTTTTTCTCTCTCGAAAACTTTCTAATAAAAGCCTCAATAGGTGAATTGCATTTGTTGTAGAGCATCCTTGAAAAAATCCAAATTGTTTTTCAAAAATAGTGACCTCATATCGCAACCTACATTCAATTACTCTCTCACAAAGTTTCATAATATGACTCATAAGTTTTATTCCTTCATAGTTTAGGGTAATAAACCTACATTCAATTACTACCATTGTAATTACGGTAATTGATCAAATTTAATACTCATCTTTGAATGGGTATAGTTTTACCATTATATAGTTTTAATTTGGTTTAAAAGTGATTAAAAGTTATCGATAAAAGAATATTTCACGAGGAAATAAAAGAATATTCTACAAAGTATTCTAACTCCAAATTGGAAAGTGAAATTGCACCTGTTCAAAAATGGGTAAATTTGATCCATCATTGAAAGTAGAGTGGTAAATTTGGACATTATCCCAATAGCTAGCAATTTTTTTACTATAGTGATCAACCTGCATAGCTAGTAATTTGTACAAATGTACATACTTCTTTACACTTTAATAGGCCATTGCTTTTGTTTACTTACTCTTGGGAGGCTTACATAACTTGTCAGAAGAGAGAACCTGAATGAACTCTTCCAATATAAAACACTTCCGGCTGACTAGATTAAAGTGAAAATTATAAGGAGTTCTATAATATGTTCATGTTATTTAAAGCCTCTACTTATGGTTTAATTAGGTTTTCTTGATTACTTATCCTCCTTGTAGAGGCTATTTTATTAGTTCATGTGATAGGTTATTTTATTAATTATCTTCCTTGTTATAGGCTATGTTCATGTTATTTGACACTTGATGATCAAGATCAAGTTATTTGTTATGTATCTTATGCTGCAAGAAACGATAAACTGTTATTTCATATATAAGATGTACGAAACAGTTATGGTGTTGTCTTATCGGAGCAATTTTGTGCTTATAAAAACATCACAGTGGTTGTAATCTTAATTTTTCATGGCCTTATTGTTTATAATAATTGTCAAATACTAAGTCATGGCAGAATCTACCTCATTTCTATCTAGAAGTTTTAATTCAATTTACAATTTACAAGGTACTGGAGAAGTTGTAAAGTCACTTTTCTCTGTTTATTTTTGTTTCAATGTATTCATTTGTAGCATGATCTACACTTTTGTATCCATAAATTATATGCATGGTAACTTACATTTTGTAATCTAATCTTACTGTTGAAGGTATCTGAAAGATTTTGCTCAGGTGCCTATGAGAAAGTTACACAAATAATTTTGTTCTTCAGGCTGTGTATTATTATAATTTACGGGGTAAGCCTATGGAGAGTTTTGTCCATAAATGTCGTCTTTAGTGCAGAGAAGAGAAGCCTAGGAAGAGAATCTGCACTTCTTTCTACTTTGATTCTGGTCACATATAAAGGATGGCAAAAATTTAGGATATTTTCTGTAGTGTAAAAATCTGTGACAAATATAATGGTGTGTAACAATGGTAATTCTTGAAAACATAATTTGCCATCTGCATCCATCTCAATTTATCTAGGTAGGAAGATTTTTTCTAAAAAACTTGTGTTATCGGTTAAGTGCATGTCGGGGATAAGAAAACAATGCAACAAAGTCTTACTTCCTGCAAACTATTGTGTTTTAATACTTTTGCAAGGCATTATGGAGTATGAACTGAAAAAGAACATCTTGAGTTGATGTTATGCTTAGTGACCAGTGGGTGATAGTAGCTGAGACCTTGCTTTACAGTGTGCATCTTAGCAAATGAAAGTTAGTCTAGACAACGTACGTGTAAAAGTGGTGAGCATTGTTCAGTGAGGCATTCTGGTGAAATTAGATCCAAGATTTCAAAGAGCTATTTCATGGTTCTCTACTTTCCTATATGTAAACAGCCACTCAATCAAAAAGTTTTAATTGTTAGGTGAGAATTGAAGAATAGTTTCTACATTCACTAACATGATCCCTATGTTTAAATCGCTTGGTTGAAAGCGTCGACAAAGAGGTTTTGGTACGTCATTAAGAACCAGTCAACCTAAAACCTAAAGATGTTAGGTTAGGTTTTAATAAGAACTTTTACTGTCAATGCACTAAGGTTTCCAACATTAGAGCTTTAGATCTTATATGCCATATGTGTGCTTTAGATTAGACCACCTTTGACCATGTTGTTGTTGCTGATTGAAATTTGGTTGATTCGCAATAAAAGCTGTTGGAGTTCATTATCAGTTTCTTCCATCTTTATGCTAACATTAGAACTGTATTCAATTGATAGTTGATTTACATGCTTATTAGCATTGGATAGATATTTTCATCTGTAAGTATTCGCTACATCTTTCGCTCTATTCTTCCATTTGTTAGCATTTTGATTCTCATATACAGAAATATTGAGTTGCCGCGAAAAGGACTAGTCTTAAGGAATTCAAGATTCATATGCTCCTCTCTAGTGTTTAAACTTGCAGACATTAATGTGATGGTAAATTTTTCTAGATAGACTGCTTTGTAACTCTGATGGTAGGACCATTGGTGCATTTTTAACATGTCTTAATATGACTTGTGACTTGATATTCTTTTAATCATTTTCTTTGGATCATAATTCATGTTGCTTTGTATGATTTTATATGTATTCCATTTATGATTATTTCATCTTATAGCATTTTTATTTTGTTTCGGTTATGGTCGGGTAATGAAGTCATTTCTTACTGGCATGATTGATCTTGCCTGCATGAAAGAAGCTCTATGCTTGGAAATACATGCAATTAGATGTTAGATTTTCATGTTACCCGCAGCTTCTTTATGAGGCAACATGTTGCTGATTGATAGAAAGGCGTGCACTTCTAATCTTGTATAGCATTTCTATTGTCAGCCAGTACTGCAATCTGGAATTTATCGAATAGGTTGAATTGTGAACTGCTTCAACCTTTTCATGGCTTACTTCCTGTCCTGGATGCAAGATCCTTCAAGTGGGGAAATATCCATGAGCATTGTTTTTCATGGCTTACTGCTGATTTTATGTTACTTAATGGCTTACTGTACGGCTTAATTTATCTCCTAACGACTTAATTTATCTTGTAAATTGATGTAGTTAAATTTATCGTATCATCAATTAAATTTAAATATTAATTCAAAGTTTAATCAGTATAAATTTATTTATAAATTTTTTTTAAATTATAATTATAATAATTTTTTTAATCATTACTATAATAATATTTATTATTATTTTAATTCTCATCTGGATTAATTTGAACCTCCAAATAAATCTTAAGATGAATAAAACAAAGGAATGAATAACTAAATTTGTACTTATGATTTTTTTTATAATTAAAATGGTCAATAACTAAACCTTAATTATTAAAATTAAAAATATTTTTTAGAATGACGTGATAACGTAATGGAAAAAGCTTTTTGAGGCTTGAGTAAGATTTTTCAAAATTAAGTTTTGTTCAGTTTATTATTTTAAATTTATTTTATTTTAATTTAACTTTAAAATATATTTATATATTAAAAGTATTAATATGAAATGCTCTTATTTTTTATTCATATTTTTCAAAATAGGCCGGTCTAACTGATGGCGCCTGAGTGGCCCGGGTCCGGGCTTGAGATTAAAAGTTACGTGGATTCTTCTACAGCTGGTGAGTAAAACGACGACGTCTTCGGACGTTGAGGTACAAAAGACCGGTGTCTCCGTACGCGGCCTTGTATTAGCGACTTTGAGCCAAAGCTTCTACGACAAAGTAACAGAACAGGAACAACCGACAAACAGATACGAAAGGTACTATCCCTTTCTCTTTGCAAAGACATATTATTCGGTTATTACTGTATGCAATGTAAATGTAATACAATGGTATTGAAAACCAAGGATCTGATCTGGGAATCACTTACAATCTTCTACTCGTGTCCGTCCTTGAACTGAATTTTGATGTTGCTGAGAAAGCAGAGTTTGCATAACAGAAAAATGTAGTGTTTGTTGCAACCTAAGGGGCTGGTTTGGTTCGAAAATGTGGGTATTGCTCTAAATTTTAAATCTTTGTGATTTTTTTTATTGATTGGGAATTTGGATTAAGACAAGAGGATCATCATGTAACACTGGAAAATGTGTTGTTTTAGTGACAACACGTGGCTTTGGTTTTGTATTGCCCTTGCATTTTTATTGTGGGATTTCTTTTTCTTTTCTTTTTTTTTTTGTAATTGTGAGCTTGGCTAGAGTCTTTTACTGAATCAAACCTGATAGGATTGTGTAGCATAAAACCTATATATAAATCTAAAAAAATTTTACATATTTTTTAACAATTGATTTCAATATATCTAAGGGATGAGATTAAACCATTTTTTTCTATTTTTTACTTGTCTCTCTCTTCCCTTGGATTGATTGAAATTAATGGTTAAAAAATGTGTGAAACTTTTTTAGTTTTACATTGTGTAAATTAATCTGTTTTCATATATATATATATATATATATATATATATAAAATAATATAAAAATAGAAATGAATATTAATAACATTAATAACAAATAATATAAATTAATAATAACTTGTAATTTGATTAATTGATAATCATTTGAGTTGGACTTCTTATGTCAAGATACGGATCAAATAATAAATATTCCTTTTTAGGTGGTCTGCAAGCTGCTGCTCAATCAATTAGTTATGAAATAACATTAACTCTATTTGTTTAATCAATATCTCTACATGTGATTCGTTGAAATATAAGCTTTTCTTTTCCCTATTCCTTTCATTCTAGAAAATAAGCTGAATGGATTGAATAGATATCTTCATTTTTTATTATCCTTCAAGTTGATAAACCAAATTAGATAGTTTTATATATATATATATATATATATATATATATATATATGCTGTTGTATTATTCTGACTGGATCCTGATTATTGTCTAAGCTATGTACTTTGTTGACACATCTACCATTGATTTCTGAATGTTTGTTTTTGATTTGAAGAATGTAGGTTGCTTAGGTAGAAAACCCAATGGTTTAAATAAGAGAGTTATAAATTGATCTAAACAAAAAGGTTGTCTAGTCTCAATGTGGTTGTGATAGAAGAATAAGCATCCTAGCCTTGCTGGACAATATTTTGAAATTTTGCCTTAATCAAATGTTAATTTCTCTGATTCTCTCTATATCTGTAATTTTCTTTTTCAAGCAAATGAATAATCCTTGTGTCTGTAAAATGCTGCTATGCAAGTCATATGATTCCTCCTTTCCTATTCCTACCCTGTGATTGTCATTGCTGGAGGGAGCTCTCAAATTCTTCATGTCTATTTGCGTTACAGCATTCACTTGCAACCTCTTCTTGATATGCATATATTGTCTATAACAGAGATGCACGATAATCTAGGACCCTTTCCTGGAGTGTCAGGACCGCCACTATATACCCCATCCAATCCTTTTGGGAATGCATTTTATGGAGCTGGTTCTGGACTAATTCGAGGAGGATTAGGGGCATATGGAGGGAAACTTTTTGGGTCAGGCTCTGATTACGTACAAAGCAATGTAAGTTGGAACTTATTGCAACATCAACATGACGCAAAAGTAAATTCCTGATATTATGCATGGTAGTTAACCATTCTTTCAAATATCTTTCTTGTGCCTCATTTTAGTAAATGCATTACAAGTCCAGGAATTTTGTTTTTCTTCTAGGGCAACAAAACTGCACTGATTTAGAAGTTTTTTAAAAGCCTAATGGTATCATTTTTGGCATTCTGATAGCTCAATAATTCTATGAGGTAAAAGTAACCTCCTGAGCATTGGGCCCCTCCCGTTTAACCATTTTGGTAGATGAGTTTTTACGTGAAAATTTTGTATATTCTATGATCATGAATTCAACAGGTTTCTTTGTAATCTGTTTTCATTTGACAGATAAGCAAGTACTTCTCTGATCCTCAATATTACTTCCAAGTGAATGATCATTATGTCAGGAATAAACTGAAGATTATTTTGCTTCCTTTTCTACATAGAGTAAGCACAAATTTCTGTTGTTGGCTTAACTACCTCAATCTTTCTTCCATTGGCAACAAAATTTTACATATATATATACACACACACACACACACACACACATATATGTGACAAAGATTCTTTATTATTTTTTTGTGCGTTTAGGGTCACTGGACAAGAATTACAGAGCCAGTTGGAGGCAAGCTCTCGTATAAACCTCCAGTTAATGACATAAATGCCCCTGATTTATACATTCCATTTATGGCATTTGCTACCTACTTGGTTCTTGCCGGCATCTCATTAGGCCTTTCAGGAAAGTAAGTTAGGACACTGGGAATGCTCTCAGAGCTTCGAAGTTTATCCTTATATAACATCTTCAATTATTCATGCCAGGTTTAGTCCGGAGGCCTTGAATTGGCAGTTTGTTAAAGGGCTGATGGGCTGGTTTCTGCAAGTGATGCTGCTGAAGATATCATTGCTTTCTCTAGAGGGAGAAGAGGCCCCATTGCTTGACATGATAGCATATGCTGGATATTCTTTCAGTGGGATATGTGTGGCCATGGTGGCACGGATCGCTTCAAGCTATTCATATTACTTAATAGTTTTGTGGATATGTTTGTGCATGGGCACCTTTCTGGTGAAGACAATGAAAAGAACTCTATTTGCAGAGATCAGAAGTTATGATTCAAGCAAGCACCACTATCTCTTGCTCTCCATTGCTGTTGCTCAGTTTCCTTTAATATTCTGGCTCAGCAACCCTACTGGGAATTGATTTTTCTGAAGCAATTCATCGAGTTTGTTCACCTTTCCCTTGATGGTTCCCCTTGCTGATAGTATTTTATTCTGTCTACAGCATAGCTTGAGTATTAGCAATTGAATTCTTTTCTATCACATAGCAGGAAGATTCTTTGTAACCCAAAATTATGTATGATCTGCTATTTGATTGGCGAGTTGAGTTTTGGATATCAAAAACTTGATCTAATCAAAAAAATTTTCTTTACTGTGCTGATTTTTAGCCTCAGATTTTTTTCCAATCAGAAAAAAAAAAAAAAAAAGAGAGATAAAAGTAACTTGAACTCTGTTCATCTGGTAATTGACAGATTTATTGATAATCTAATCATCACCACATTATTATGGATCACAACTATATATTACTGTGCAGGTATCAAGAAAATCTTGCTAATTGTTTTATCATTTTCTATTAAAAAATTTGATCTGCATGACTCAACAACCATTATGCCAGCTCTGGTTTTCAGTTTGAATCTGACTTCATGCTGCATACAATGGCTAAAAGCAGGGATTTAAGTAATTTCCTTTATGACAAAGTTTTTGGATACCCAAAATAGGGTCTCAACAAACATATATGGACCGCATGTCCAAAGCAGAAGCAATAACAACATGGGCATTACTGTCATTCCACTTATCATCATTTGTGTTTATCTTCAAAGACATTGATCTCATCCTTCATCTGAAGTCCAAACAAACTATCAGTCCCAGCTGTTTACCGTGTTCAAGCGTCTTCCTAAGTTTCTTTATGCAATTGCCCTAGCCACCCAAAATGACAAAAGCAATATAAAACGCAAAGGATCTGTCTTTTCCCTCTCAAATTCTTCCATAAGAAACAGATCATATACCCCAATAGCAATAAAAAAATAGAAGCTGGGTGCCTTTCCTCTTCTGTTCCAGGAAGCATAAACCCTTCAAGCAACACGATCCAAATTTCCAGGATTCAATAATGGATGAGTAAAGTTTCCTTTTTTCTTTTTTCTTTTGGTTTCCCTTTCTTTCATTAAAAATTTTCAGTTTTCTTTTAAGATCTCTTACATAGTAAATTCATCTGTTTCTTAGATCGGAGGAGTACCCAAAGGACTATTACACCAATAACGGCGACCCCAGAAGGGTGACTTCCACTTCCTCTTCTTCTTCATCGACGACAAGCGTTCATGTCACAGCCTTGGACGGCCTGGTCAACGTTAACTCCCTTTTCACCATTGCCGTCTTCGTGGGCCTTTCTTTAACTACCCCAGGCCAGCATAGTCTCGAGAACCGACCACCCTGCGATGCCGACATCGACGTAGCTAAAAAGCTCTTAGTCTTCGAGGTTGTCTCCTTCAGTTTCTTCCTTTTCTCGTCTTTGGTAGCTCAGGGTTTGAAACTGGCCATCAACTTGTTGAATAGTAAAGATGTTGATGAAGCTTTCAGGGCCCACATTAACCTTAAAGTTTTGAGATTTGGGATGATGGGTTCCGCTGTGGGGTCAGTTATGGGATGCCTGTTTTTGATGCTTTCGATGGTGAATGTGATCGAGATCCGGTTAGGGATGTTGTCTTGTGGGAGTAAGTCTGCGATTCATGCGGTGGCGGCTTTAGTTATTCTGGTTTCTTCTGCTATCTTGTTTTATATTTCCACTGCTGTTTATGCTTTCTTGCATTGAATAATGAAAATTTTGTGGCTACAAACTTTAGTATTAGTTTTCATAACAATATTGTAAATCAAATCACGAGTTGAATTTCTTGGTTATCCTGGTTATGGGAGACTTGATAAACCATTTTCTCGGGGCAGAAATATTTGGTAAGAATCCTAAGCTGAAGTAGTTAAAAAGCTTTGGCTTTGATTATTCGATGAAACTCTGGAAAGCTCAGCGAACTTTTAATAGTTGGTTAGCTGTCAGGTGGCCACCATTTTTAGGTTCATTGTTTTGAAAATTACAGGGATTTAATCAAAATTTTGTAGCTACCCCATTAAATCTTTCTCAACTGAAACTGAATGATGATTTGCGTTTAGTAAAATGATCCCTTGTAAGGGATGATTTTCTTGCCTTATCAACTAGACTAGCTGCAAATTGCAATGTACAGGGCAGATTAAATCCATTTTCCATGGCTTGAGGGCTGAAGTAGCGCTCAAGTCATGCGTTAACATCATCATTCTTTCATTCTCTTCTGATCACAAACAAGAAATGGGGTCAGGGATCGTTCTTCTGTTAATTCAAGTATATCCATATGCAGACTAACTCCTTCATTTAATGATGCTGACCTTGTTGACAACATTTTGGTTCGTGGATTTGCTGGATCAAACATGTGCTTCGGTTTCATAGCTCCAATGTCATGATGATTTTAATGGGTATCCAAGTGACCACAAATTTGGATAGATGTGCTTCTGGAATGGGAATTGTGGTTAATTATACAGGGTACTTGGAACTTGTTAAAGCTGTTTCTTGTCTTCACTGTTTTTGCGGCAGATCAGTGTAACTTTAATCTCTAAATGTTACTATGATACGATTTCTATATTTGCTGGGGAAGACAAGAACGTAAGGCAGTTGAGAGCAGCTGGACACGGTTCAGAAAAATTTGGCATCTTATTGGAAGTTGAAAGTTGAGAATGAGAAGTGAAGATGGAGAGCAATTATAAGCTAGCTAATTTGTTACTCCTTTTTTTTTTTTCTTATATGAATGTTTAATCATATAAGAAAAGAAAAAATAAGATAAAAAGAAGTTCTAATTGAATAACTAATTCAATTTAAATTTACGGAAAACATCAAATTTATTTGATATAATGACTTAAAAACTTCAATTTAGTTAACAAAAATCCAATTTTAATATTAGTGATTAGATTTAAAACAAATCTTCAATTTATAAAGTTAAAAGTAATCACTGGTTTGAATCTGTTAATTTAAATCAGGTTCAAAATAAATTTTATATTTTTTTTAAAGAGAAATTTGAGGGTTGATAAGTGATATATTTAACAGTTTAAAATAAATAATTATAGATTGATCTCAACAAATGATCATTGATAGAACGTGAATTCAAAATCTTTTGAATTAAAATTTATTTCATAAAAAAGATGAATTTTAATTAATTAAACTAATCAATTCTTAATAATTTAAAATAAACTTGATTTTTATCTTTCACCTCTTGATTTAGTGACTAAGGAGATTTTATGAAAACACAAAATTCCTGGTTTCAAGTTAAGATCTTCTTCTCCTTTCTCTCTTGTAAGACTATACCCTCCTTTGAACAAAAAAAACATGATTTTGATTAAACCTAGAATTATGGTTTTATTTATAATTTTTTTGTTATAATTTTTTAATTAATCAATTATAATAAAAAAATTATCTAAAAATTTATTATTTAAAAATATGAGTTTCATTTTTTATTAATAGTAAATAATATTAAATTACATTTAATTAATTAATTATTATGAAATAATATGCTCTTCATTTTCGTTTATTGCTTTCCTGATAAAAATTTTTGTCCGAAAAAACATAAATTACGTGTCCTTCTAACTAAGACATAAACGGTGTCGTTTACGTTTTGCTTTCTCAAAACATGGGGCCCTTGGGGACACAAGAAATGGAAAAAGATGTGATAAGATACGGCTGCCCTCCATCAGGTTCAACCGTACCCCTCCCCTGAACCGTAGCAAATTTGCAATCTTTTTCAATCCTAGGGTTTTTTTTTTTTTTTTTTTTTCTTTCCAGTAAGTAACTAATCATCTTAAACCCCTTTTTTCTTTTTCAACTTTTCTCTTTTTTTTTTTTAATTTTAATTGTTATTTTCTGTTTTCTGTTTGGTTCGCTGGAAACCCAAAGGAGAAAAAAAAAAAAAAAAAAAGCTTAGCACAGCCACATTGATTTGGTTTATAAAACGTGTCACTCCAAGTACTTCATGTAAGACCCAGATTCTTAGCTTGATCGTTCACTTTTCTTGACCCTTTTTTTTTTCTATTTAATTGTTTTTTTTATGCACGTTTACTGTGTTTCTGTGCTGAAGATAGTGACCTTATGGATTAATTTATGATTTGTTTTTAATATTTCATTTCTGGGTGCTTTATTTTAGTAAATACAATGTATTTCTGATGATTTATTGGCTGATAGTTCCTTTAATTTTTGTTTCTCTGTTGCTCTGTGTTGAACTTAGTTACCAAAAAAATATGCAGAATAGGGTTTTAATGTACTTCAGATGCTGATAGGTTAGAATGATGCTTAATCATTTACAGCTTGATAACAAAAAGTAGGTTTTGAGCTCAAATAAATGACTTTGTGCTGTGCTTAAAAAAATGTTTTACATATTTCTGGTTTGAAAAGATCTTTTGTTTGTTAACCAGAGCTCTTCATGGTAAGTGTTAAGACTTGAGAAAACTCCTACTGACTAATTTGTTTCATTTTGGTAAAAAGATTAATAGATTTTTCTCTGTACCATGGAATGAGAATTCCCCCAACGCGTTGAGTTTGGCTTGTGAATTTATATAAACATTGGTTTTTGGGGTGTTAAAATGGAGCTAAATTTGATCTTTTAGAGGGCATTATATGGCATTTAGTCATGTTTGTATTCGGCACTTTTATTACTAAGAGTGAATGGAGTTAAATTTCTGGATGACCATTTAGTATTCTTCTTGAGAGGATTAAAGACTCTTGGTAGTCCGTTATACTCTTTTATCTATTCGGTCATCATCTGGTAGATGTTTGAAATAGGGGTTCGTGATTCCACTCATAAAGTTTCTTATTCAAGTTTAACTTTCCATAATTCTTGGTCTTTGTTTCTTTTTTTCTCATTAATCTTTCTGCTTGTCTTTTCAAGTTTATTTAGATGCAAAATTTCTGTGAACGAAATTGGAAAATGATGTTATTTGATTTTGCTTGCCTACAGCTTTCTCATAAATGAACTATTTAGTCAAGAAAACACATAATGGAGAGCACATCTAGTCAAGGGATCGATTCAGATGAAAGTATAAGGTGTTTGCAAGTTGAAAACTTTGATGAGCAGGAATTGGTTGATCCTGAGCTTCCGGACAACATTGATTTGTGCTTGGGAGATGTTGACAAGATTATAGAAGAGTCTACTGAGAGTTTACCTTTGTTAGGTAATGCTGTGGAACCGTACATTGGCATGGAGTTCAAGTCAAGAGATGCAGCAAGGGAATTTTATGTTGTTTATGGCAGACATACTGGTTTTACAGTGCGAATCCATCATAATCGACGTTCACGAATAAACAATATGGTAATTGGTCAAGATTTTGTTTGTTCAAAAGAAGGCTTTCGTGAAAAGAAATATATGTACAGAAAAGACAGGATTCTTCCTCCCCCACCTATTACTCGAGAAGGCTGCCCCGCAATGCTGAGGCTGGCTTTAAGGGATGGGGTAAAATGGGTTGTTACCAAATTTATAAAGGAGCATAATCACTCATTAATGTCACCTGGAAAAGTACCATGGCGAGGGCCTTCCAAAAACCTGATCAGTGAGGTAAATCGCATTCTCTTTTAATTGTAACTATCAAGGTGCATATGAGCTTAGCTTACTAGTTCATGCTATCACATTCTATATGCTAAACAACAGATGAGATGACTAAAATTATGGAACAGGATTGGTGAGCCATCACTCTTTCAGCTTTCTTACGTAACCATAGATAGGAATACAAACGTAGGCATGCTCAAGCATAGAGACAAGTAAATGCTTCCTTGGCTCATCTACCTTATTTTTTCCTAATCTTTTCTTTTTGCAATGATTTTGTTTCTATAGGATGAGAAGGATCAGAGAATACGAGAGCTAACCCAAGAGCTGAACAATGAGAAACAAAAGTGCAAACGGCGGTGCGCAGCTTACCAGGAACAATTATGCACAATATTGAAATTTGTTGAGGATCATACTGATCAATTGTCGAAAAGGGTTCAAGATATAGTCAAGAACATAAGAGAACTTGAAGAAGCAGAGCTGGAAGATTCAGATTGTAGATATGTTTAATTTGTCTTCGCACTAGGCATAAATATGTCTGATACACTGTACAATTCCCCCTTTCCCACCCTTTGTTTGGATTTTTCCGATGTCGATTTACTGATGCAAACAGAAGTTAATTTGGATCATTCCCTGCAATTTGATTTTAAATGCAAACAAAAGTTATGATCCTACCTCTACATCAATTACCAAATATCTCTTTTTTCTTTAAAATTTCACATCAATTGTGTTCATGTGACATTAATTTCAGTTATCAAGCTCAGAAGATCTTTCCATTCATGAGAGGCCTAAACTTCAGTAAGGGGCCAGCAATCCAAATTTTAAGGCAAACGGAACAATAATTTGAGACCAAATTAGAAAATCAAACTAATAATAATATATAAAAAGCATTGCAAATTTTCTTACAATGAGATGATACAAGAGAACCCATGGCTAGGCTTTCTCTTTTTCCTTTTTTCCCCCTTATCCTATAACATTTCTTTTGAGCTTATATATTAACTTAAGGCAGCAAAGCCACCACCTTTCATCATCTGCTTAAACTCCTTAAAATTAACCATTCCATCCCCATCCACATCCACCTTCTTTATCATCATCTTGCAATCCTCTATAGTTCTTCCTTGCTTTAGCCCCAAAGATGCCAAAACCGACCTCAACTCCTCAACCGTGATGAATCCATCTCCATTTTGATCGAACACGTTAAACGCTTCCTTCATGTCTTCCTCCTCGTCTCTCTCATTCATTATCGTCTGATACAATGCGCCAAATTCATCAATATCAACATAACCATCCCCATTCACATCGATCTTTTCAATCATTTGGCTTAATTCTTTGTCAGGGATAAAGATACCCAAGTCCTTCAGCGAGTCGCTGAGCTCTTTCTTTGTGATCTTGCCATCTCCATTCTTATCAAACATTTGAAATACCCGACGAAGCTCATCTGGATCCATTCCTTCCATCAAAGAACAAATGAAAACAAACTCCTAAGAAAAAAAAACTTGCCTGAAAGTTAGACAAGTTAAAAGAAACCCCCAAGAGCTACGCAAAGAAGGAACAATCAACAATGTTTAAAATCTATTTGGTGAAAAAAGGTGATCGAGAGAGACGAAAATTGCAATGAGAGATGGGAAAGGGAATTGACAAGGAAAATTCAAAGGATGTAAGTGGTTGGCAAATGATATGAACAAAAAGGAGAACAAGGCAGAGGTGGTCGTTGTTTCGTAAAAAGCGGAGAAAGACGGGTTTTTATGCAAACACACTAAAAAAAGTGTAATGAAATCAATGGTTTTAACATGGAAAGTTGTTTTTTGGGATTTTTTTTTTTTTGTGTGTGTTGGAAACGTGTTTTCTTGGTCGGGAAATTGGGGTTGGCTGCTAATTCTGATTGTTTCAGGTATTGGATGGTTAGTTTCTTTTTTGGAAGTTAATGAAAGGACACAGCAAGATGCTGTCATGCTGACACTCGGAGAGTTGCCATTGACATGAAATGAAGCTATAAAATTTGAAGACTTCTTTTTATAGATGAGGCATGAATAATTGGATTACATCTTTCTGTTGATGCTGATTTACTATAGTACTAAACAACAGTCAAAACCTCGATGCCTGTCTGTCTGGCTGGCCTTGGATGGACCAAAAAGGCAAATGGGGTTAGCCATGTTCCCACAAATTAATTTTCCTATTTCAATGCAATGCTTAGGTTCTGAGCTTTAATTGGAGGTTAGCAAAAAAATGTTTATCATTTTGAATGGAAACCACTTATTATAAGATTAAAAGAGTATTGCAACAAGAAATTCTCAAACTCAGAGGCATTGGGTGGGCACCAAAATGCCCATAAACGTGAACGAGCACTTTCCTAGAAAGAGAAAGGAATGATGGATTTCTATCATCCATATTCAGCCATGGGATGAGTTCCAAATCGTAGGACTTGGCAGAAACCATGGCCAGAGTTCCCAGCAATGATTCATAAACTATACTGAATCATTTACCAGGATGTGTATGGATAAGGGTGGCCTAATAAGCCATATTTCATGAGCACTCAAATTGCCATGCCCCAAAACAGTTGATTACTTCAACAAGAGTCCTAGTGGCGGATTTCCCCAACCAGGGATTAGTCCCTTCAAATTGAAACATAAAAGAAGGTAAAGCACTGGCTTGAATAGAAAATAACTAAAGATTTCCAACTTTTCAAACTCTTTACAGGCATTAAAGTACATTGAAAAGTTGGCCTCTAACTTGTAATGCCAAGCAATTCAACTTATATTAGGAACTTCTTTTGTTTGTAACCTATAATATTTTTAACCAATCAAACATAATTCAGCTCAGCCCCATACTTTTGTTACTTGGGCTAATGCTGAAGGGCTTAAATGAGATCAAAGATCACTGTTTGAGGCAGTAAATAATCCTGTATTCCTAAGAAATCCAAATATCCAATCAAGTGAAATGAAGATGCAATTGCTGTCATGATCTTAGTCACTAGCCAGAAAAGTCATAATCTCTCTGCAGTATGATGCTGTACTTGTCCACTTCATACCTTGCATTAAGTCACTAAACATAAACACTACCTTCGCTCATAAAAGATTGGATTATGTAAAATTACATCACCTATAATCAGTTATACATAAACTAGGTTTGCTGAGTGATTAAAGATCACCAATTAAACATTTAGGAGTAATGTACCAAACAACTTTGACACCTCAAATTAACAAAATCAGATAACTTTAAAAGAAACACTTGTGCTGTTCTTTATTTGCTACAGCTCTAGAAAATCTGTCAACCAACCTAATCTTTAATACTTGAAGACTAATCTCACATTCATTTCAAACACAGTATCCGGCAATTGCCCTCCAGAAGGGCTCATACGCAACAACTTCAAACCCTCTTCTACCACTGTGAAGCCACAGACTCACTAACCGTACAACCATCACTGGACAGTCTATACCAATATTTACAAATCTATGACTCAATGACAATGTTCAACCCAGATTCACATAAAGATCTACCGGTTTCAAGATATGTACCAAACAAAACACAAGAAAGCACCTTCAGACCATAGACAGTTCTAGCTAGCATAGGAAACAAGGTCAAGATAAGTAAAAGGATAGACCATTTTCTTAACCTGGCGTCAGATAGAAAAAGAAGGTAACACTACAATGGTCACAGATACATAATAATTTCCTCTCAGACCAACCATGCCATTACTTAGTGCCCAAAACCAGAATTCTCAATTTCCATAACACCTAATAGCAATCAAGGTTTTAACTTTAACCACGAGAACAATCACATGAAACCAATTGCAATTTCCAAATAATTTTTAAAAATTTTCTATTAAATCCCATAACTTTCCAGCAAGCTAATAAACCACAGACATTGAAGAAAATCCCCAAATATCATCACAAGCCATAGAACACTTGCATTTAAATTCCAACGCACCCAAATCACACGGGGGCAATAATGTACTCACAAATAAAACCGGTTTCTTTCAAAGTACCAAAATTATTATTATTATTATTAATCCCACAAAAATAACAGAAATGCACTAAAAATTTCCCTTATTTCTCTTTTTTTTTCTATATTTTTATGGAGTATCCCAGGGCCTAGGCTCGGGGACAGCGACAACCATACCCTGTAGCTGAGGCGTAAGCACGACCTGACACGAAAGCCTGGAATGCTTGTTCAAGATACGACCCCTCGAATTCCTTACCAACACGTATTCCTCATCGTTGGTACGAGGTGGAAGCTTCTCCAGCCATTCCTGGGCGATGTTGACCTCGCATTCCGCGGAACATGCGTCGATCTCCTCATGGCGGTGAGAGGCCGGGTCGATCAGACCGCCGTTAGTCAAGGCCCGAAGTAAGGTACGACCCGCTAGGCCCACTACCTCACGCTTCTGCCCTTCTGGATCGACGGCGAAGAATTTGACGAGCCGGTCCGCAACTTTTATGGTGGAGGATGAGGTGGCGGAGGATCGGGTGAGGATGTGGGAGGAGAGTGATGGGAAACGGTGGATTTGGGCAGTAAGTTTTTGGAGTGTTGAAATCGCCATTTTTGGGGGAAGACAAGAGATTGAGAAGAGGCTCAGTTCAGTGGACCATTTAGGGTTGTTTTTTCAGCAATTTGGGTCGGTTAATCGGAGCTTTTTTTTTCAAAGCGGGTTCCCTACGGTTCGTAACCGTGCGGTGCCTAACATCCGAATTTTAGGGTTTTGGTCGAGTTCGAATTTTAATTTTAGTGATTAATTATTTCATTCACAATCTCAATTACCAAAAACATTTAAAAAATTAAAGAAAACTTTTTTTAAGCAATATTTACCACAAATGTATTTTTTAAAATGTTATGGCAAAGTTTTAATTTAGATAGAGCTTTTAATTTTTAAATTTTTTTTTCAAAATTTGAGGAAGTAATTACGATTTAAATTCAAAATCTAAAAAATAAATTTATAAATTGAATTAATCTTTGTAATTTATAATTAAAAATATTTGATAGAAATTGATAAATTTTAATGCCATAAATCAATAGTATAATAAGTAAAAAAATCAATTAAAATAAATTTATATTTCATATATTGTAGCTGAATTACATAATAATATTTTAATAAAAGAATTAATTTTAAAATTAAGTATAATTATTTTTTATAATTTTAAAATTTTAAAATTAATTTTTTTAATAGTTGACTGTTGAAAATAAATATTATCTATTCCTTTACATATCCAAAGGAAACTTTGTTTTTTTTTTTTTTGAAACTTAAAAATGAAATTGCTTATAAACCTGAAAGAGGGAACATTAGTTTGGTTTTTCTGAAACTATTAACTCCGATTCTAATGTATTAGGCAACAAATATTGATTTTTAATTTAGCATCATGAAAGAGTTAAACAGAAATATGATCTTGAAAATGAAATCATATAAAATAGTGAGTAATTAAATCCAAAGTGCTGCTGAAGAAAGCTTCATAGCAAGAAATGAATCAGATGCATAGCTGAAAACCCAAGCAAAGAAGATGTCTTTTGCTTTCCTTTCACTGATTGTGTTTCACGGGATTCGTTCTTCTCTTTTCAATGCAAAAAAAATTCCTCCTGATGAACTAATATTATCATCAGTTTTTTGAAGACAGCAGACGAAAACCAAAAGTCGAGACAAAAAAAAATAAAAAAGGAATGGATGAATATCATCACCTGTGTTATAATGTTGAAGAATGTTTAAGAGCTGTCCAGAGTAGGATTCCTTATAGCAATCCCCAAGACCGCCCTGCCAAGGGATGCATTATCAATGGCAAAATTGAGATTGAACACAGTCCTGGACTCTCGGGCCCTGGAAAATCAGCTTGTGTTCAGATTTATAGCTCAACTGAAATCGACCCAAGTATGTTCTTGTTCAGCTGGTTATTATATTTGAGTAAATTATATCATTTTTTATCTTTTTCTTTCGATTTGGAAAGTCAAATATTTGAATCTTTTTGTTTCAAACTATATATTCATGATTTTCATTTCTCATGTGTGCTATATATAGTTATTTCATCATTTGATGATTGATGTTCTGTCAAAACTTCAAGCAAAGATGAACAAAATAAAACTGAAAACATATGTTGAACCTTTTTCTTCCTCTTAACTGTCTTCACTTTATTGCATCCAATAGACACCAGGAAAGGGAAACTGAGCGGGAAAGCATGCCTCAAACATGGAAAGAGCAGAAAAACGGATGGCACAAAAATCACAAGTTACAAGATAAAGCTACGTGTAGAGCTTGGATTTGGAAATCCAGGAGCTTTTGTAATAGAAAATAATCACAAGCATAGATTCTTCCTCCAATCTGCAACCCTGGTAACTCAAGATAAGAAGGTCATCTACTTTGACTGTCGATCTTGGGTGTATCCAATCAAGAAGACTAAAACCAGCCGGGTTTTCTTTTCAAACACGGTAAGTTATGGTGAATTTATTTGGTCTGATTTTTTTCTAGTTTTGGTGCATTTTGAAATAGCAATTCCATTTGCTCATTGCAGTGCTATCTTCCAAGCCAAACCCCAGCTTGTTTAGTGGAATTGAGAAAGGAAGAACTTCAAGCCTTGAGAGGGGATGGAACTGGGGAAAGGAAAGAATGGGATCGAATATATGATTATGATGTGTATGATGATCTTGCTAATCCTGATAAAGGTCCAGATCATGTTAGACCTGTCCTGGGTGGTTCTGATTCATATCCATATCCTCGCAGGGGAAGAACAGGGCGCCCGGCTAGCAAAAATGGTATCTAACTTCGCAAAACTCATATCTATGTTTCTTCAGGGTTGTAGCTTCTTGTTCTGACTATAGTTTTTAATCATTGGCCAGAAACAATTGACTTGGACACTTATGTTCCTCCCGATGAGAGATGCAGCCCTAAGAAACTATCTGAGTTCATCGCAAATGCAATCCAAGCCACTGTTCATTTCCTCCTATCTGAGTCAAAATCCTTGTCCCATGATTCCAGTAGTTTTGAGTCTTTCGATGAGATAAGGGACCTGTACTCTGACAACAGAAGCCAAGTAATGACTGGAACTGTGATAGAGAAAATAAAGAAATTAGTACCAGCTGAGCTTTTCAAAGAAATCACTCATGCCAGCAAACAAGACCACATAAAATTCCCATTGCCTCAAATTATAAGAGGTGACCCTAACAACAACCTGCCATTTACCATCCATAGCAGCTGCATTGCTATGTGCTTAATGCTTAACCTGTAATCTCTTAATGCTTTCTATTCTTCAGCTAATGAATTGGCATGGAGCATAGATGAGGAGTTCGGGCGTCAAATGCTTGCCGGGACAAATCCTACACGAATTCAATGCTTGAGGGTCACTCCATCTTACTAGATTCATACAATATTAGCTTATTAACCTATGTACCTTATCCGAAAATTATGTAAAATTTTGTTATAATAACTTTTTTTTTTCAGGATTTCCCACCTCCAGAAAGTGATATAAGCGAATCAGACATTGAGCCGAACCTCGGTGGTCTGAGTTTTGAACAGGTAACCTGTTACCCTTGAATTTTCATCAATTCAATGAAACTATGAAGCAATTTACATCCGACAACCTATCAGTTCAAGGGAGCCCTTTTTCTTCTTGTCTAAGATCAGAGCCAGTCACGAGTAATATGTTGAAGTATCGGCCAGAAAAGATAAAACTTGAGATACATATTTTGTTGCGACTTATGCAATTTGTTATGAATTGACTTTCAGCAAATGTACTACAGGCAATGACCCAGTGGAGGATTTTTATCCTAGACCACCATGACTATCTCTTGCCATCTTTAAGAGAAATGTACTTGGAGGGTGTCTGCCCTTGTGCAACCCGAACATTACTATTTTTAAGAAGCGATGCCACCTTAAAGCCATTGGCAATAGAACTGACCTATCCAGATCCCTTCAGCAACTGGATGAGAAACTGGGTGCTCATTCCAGCAAAAGAAGGCACTGATCGAGCACTTTGGCAGTTGGCAAGGGCTCATGTTGCAGCTAATGACTCGGCATATCATCAACTCATCAGCCATTGGTGATGAGCCATACTTTTATGAAAAACTCTGTTGTGTCTCTAATGAATCGTGATAATAAAATTTCTATGACATAAGGACTGATTCAGAATAATGTTACACCTTTTGCCAGGTTGCATACTCATGCAGTTGTCGAGCCATTCATCATTGCCACCAGAAGGCAGCTGAGTGTGATGCATCCAGTTCACCAGCTGTTGGATCCTCATTTCAAAGACACCATGCACATAAATGCCTTGGCTCGGAGTATTCTCATAAACTCAGGAGGAATCCTTGAGACGACGCTATTTACCGGCAAATTCTCCATGGAATTGTCTTCTGAGCTTTATAAAGTGTGGAGATTCGATGAACAAGCTCTCCCCTCCGATCTTCTCAAAAGGCAATGATCCTAAACAATCCGCAAAAAACCTATAAACTCGTTTAACACATACATGTCACATGCATTTCATTTTTTCAGGCACATGGCCCTAGAAGACCCAGAAAGCCCCACTGGGGTTCGTATCCTCTTCCAAGATTATCCTTACGGTCTGGACGGTCTTGATGTATGGTTGGCCATCAAAACATGGGTGGGAGATTTTTGCGACATCTTCTATGAAGATGATGATTCTGTCAAATCAGATACAGAAATCCAAGCATGGTGGTCAGAAATTCAAAATGTCGGTCACGGTGATAAGCGCAACGAGACATGGTGGTACCAAATGACTACCAAGACAGATCTTAAGAAGACTTTAACAACCCTCATATGGATCACATCAGCCCTTCATGCATCAGTGAATTTCGGACAATATGCATACGCAGGTTACCCTCCAAATCGACCCACTAGGTGCCAAAAGTTCGTTCCAGAGGAAGGAACGATGGAGTTTTCTGAATTCTTAAAAGATCCAGATAAGTACTTTCTCAAGATGTTACCTGAAAGATTTCAGGCGACCCTCGGCATTGCATTAATGGAGGTGCTCTCGCGGCACACATCTGATGAAGTTTACTTAGGTCAGAGGCCAAAATCAGAGTGGATAGACAACAACGAGGTAATGCAGAAATTCAAGAAGTTTAATGACACCCTTCAGGAGATAGAGAAGAAAGTCTCGGAGAGAAATCAAGATCCAAAGCTGAAGAATAGATCGGGGCCAGCAAAGATGCCATACACACTTCTCTACCCTGGTCCAAGCAAGGTTGAATTCGAGGCAAGCATGACAGCAAAAGGGGTTCCTAATAATGTATCCATGTAACTTTTTTTTTTCCTAAGAAACCATATAACATATTTTAATTCTATGCAAAGGAAAATATGCTCTATAGAGTTCCCAAACCTACAAATTCATTTTTAAAGTTAAGGACTAGAAAAAAAAAAAAGAAAATCTCAAGTTCATGAGTCATGACACATTGATGGGTGCATTTACCTAAACCTCAAAAAATGGCAAATAAAACATAGATATGCTGAAAATTGCATTTACCAGTTGAATACAAGTTTTGACCTGAAAAGTAAGATATAAGGCACTGTGACTTCAAGATTTCTGGAAAGTAAAATCTAACAAGCAGCTTAAGATTTGCTCCAACTAGACCAATCCATGATGTTTCTCCTTCACTGTTCTTTGGCACATTGTACTAACAACATCGACCTTGAGCAGCAAATGGTGAATTATCAACATGGGTGGGATTGCCCAATACCATATCAACAACCATTTCGGCGGTTCCTAAAGCCTGAAAATTAAACAAAAGTGATGAATAATTTTTATGAACAAACAAGAGGTGGAACTAGCGAAGAACAAACCCTAGGAAAAAAGGATCAGTGATCAACTGATAACCTTCATATGGATTAGAATGCAACACCCACAGTGTTTATTCCAAATCCGAACAACATATAATTTTCCAGAATATAATACAAAAGACAAAAGTTACCGTAGTGAGCCCTTGTCCTTCATGCCCAGTTGCAAGAAATAAGTTTGACAAACCAGGCACACGTCCAATGACCGGCTTCCCGTCAGGCACTGATATAAGTAAAGACATCATTTCAGGAATTATATGTAGATCAAACTATTCAGCACATATAAATTTCAAATGGTAGTATACCAATGATATGAAATATTCCACAAGCTGTAATATATGAGGACTTACTGTAAGGGCGTAGCCCTACTCTCACTTTTCCGTTCTTGCTGAAATCTGTAAGGGACAGTTCTTTTAATTTGGGAAAGAAGTCTCCAGCCCGTTTCAATATATGAAGAATGATAGCATCATCTACCTCAGTGCTGAAGCCAACAAACTGACGGCTGCTCCCTAAAAGACAGATTAAACTTACGAAAACATAAGCATGTACACCAACAAATTAACATGAGCCACTGGACAATGTACACAAAGGCAAGACATAGATAACAAAGCCCATTTATGCATTCTGTTTTGCATCTATAAAAATAAACGCTAATTTCATCTATCATATTATGAAACAATAAGATATAAAAGTTAGAATCTAAGGACTCTGTCAAGAGCAGGAAACAACAACATTTTGAAGTTCCAAGCAATCTCACATTTCCTTGAGTGCTAAACAGGATCGGAATAATAAGAAGATAAAAGCAGACAACATTGTCTTTTTCACACCAAAATTATCATTTTACCATGTGTAAATGAATATTTAAAATCTAGCATTGAGAATGGCAAGCAAAAAGTGTGAAATTTTACCTAGAATAAGATTACCCATTGTGTCCATTGTGGCTGTCATTGAAACAGCCAGGGTTTGGCTATGATCATCCTGCTCTGAAGTTAATATTGCATTTTGATGATCAACATAGCCAACCTCCATCAAACCATGATTCAGTTGAAGGGAATTAAAGTTTTCAATCACAAGAAGGTGGCCCTGTTAGGGATATCAAAGGCAAGGCAGGCATTATATCAAAAAAATTAAAAATCAAATAAATAAGCATGGAAGATGCATCAAAGAATTGCATTATCAAAATTTATAAATATCATCCTACTACTTTCCATGAAAATTTCCCCCCGAGATATAAAAGGCACTCTTCAAATGCATTCTAGTAGTAGAGGTTTGTATCAGATATTAGTTAAGCTTCCTTCTTTAGGAGCCACAATAATTACATTCTTATGATGGTAACATCATATGTTAAAACAGTAAATATTTGAAATGGAGCTATGTTATTAGTTTTTTATACGTATAACATGTGCATGTTCAGGCATTAAATGGTTCTATAATTATAACCAAAGAGCTCATTCCAACGTGAATCTGGGGTAAGACATGGGTTTGAAAGGATCATACTTAATAACGGTGAATAAGTATGAAAAACCTTGAGACAGCATGCCTGAGCATGTTTGAAACAGGTTAGTTTCATTCATAATAATGAAACATATAATTTGTTAAGCCCGAACAACCCCAACAGCATTTAACCTATAAAGAAAACCCAATATAATATGTCCAAACATATGCCTGTCCACAAAAGCACACTGATGAATGATCCAGGACATAACAAAGCACTATGAAAAACTTTTAACATTAATATATCAGATTTAGCTTCAGATATCTGTCCAACAAATTGAGAGTTTATCAAAATGCTTGATATGGCAAAAAGATCTACCATCCTAGAACAGCATAAAGAAGGAAAACAAAGCCAAAAAGAGGTACTCTGCTATATTCAAATTGTGCCAAAAAAGTCAAGGATTTATTACATAAGATCAAACTTTCAAACCAATGAAAATTAGAATAAAAGACTATTGAAGCCTGTTGCATAATTAGAATGCTTAAGAAAGATCATAGCCTCTAGTCGAATTTCGACATGGATACAAGACTAGCACTTCCAACAGGACCATTTGGTCACCAGATACAATTAGCACTCTAAAAAGGACACCAAAATAAATATGGTTAACCCGCAAAACTAATTAGTTCATTGAAACCATGGCCTGAACAAAAATAGAGATCCAACATACACATAAGTTCATTCACTAATATATATACTATACAGAATAATAAATGTGGCAATATACAGATAATGAAATATGAAATTTTAAATTATGCAAATCCATTTATATCTTGGATTATCACCTTACGAGGCTTCACAAGGACATCCAATTTAACATTTGAACCTCTGACCAGGTCATGCATCAGAGATCGACTCCAACAACCAGCTGCAACTACAATGGCCTTTCCATACAAGGTATTATTGGAAGTCTGAACAGCTTCAACCTCCCCAGTATTAGTAGATCTGAACTACAGGAGTTAGGAGAGTTATACATAGACCTGAATAAATGAGACACATGTGTTGTTCCTTGGTCTCATCATCAAAATGCACTGCCAAAAATGACAACAGACCTTACTAAACCTGTAACTGGCTCATGATAGAACTCAGCATATCTACCCTCCAGTGCAAAATTTCGGTTAACCTATAGACCATTGGAGTCTATGTTAGTTACATACAAAGGGAAGACATTAACACCAAAGCAACCATTAAACCAAATGTTATTAAATAACTAAAAGAAAGATAATGACACCTTTTCGATATATGAAACAGTACGCCAAGCATCCAATTGGCAATCATCGGGTGCAAAAGCAGCCCCACCATCACTCCCAACAAAAACAGCAGGCTCCTTGGAGAGCAATTCATTGCTGAACAGATACTCTGCTCTCAACCCAGCTTCAGACAGTTGCCTGACTCTGTTTCTTAACACAACTGAATCCCCAGGAGTTCTACCAACTAACAAGCTTCCTAAAGCCTCAAAAACACCATATATTACCACAGACGTCCAAAAAAATAACTCAAAATTTCAATTTAAAAAGCGATAACAAAAACTTGTGCTAAGTCACCGAACAACAACCTATGACAATACCATGCAATCGTTTAAACTATGTAATTCAACGGACACTTAATTCCCAACTGCCTAATTGTTTTGGAGTGGTAATACCTGTCTTCTTCCAACCCAATACTTGAAATGGATCCATGCCTTGATCACGTATTGTCTCAGCCAACATCTTCCACAGTTGGTGACTTCTTTTGGTGAGTTCCCATGTCTCACTACCAGGGTTTTTATTTACCATCCATATGTAGCCCTGTCCTATCCCAATCAGAGTGTAGCAAATGCAAAAATAAATAAATAAATAAAAACGCGGGGTGAAAATAATAGTTACAAAAGTGAGGTTCCACCTGCACCGGTGGCACCGGAGCAAGGTACAGCCTTATCAACGACAGCAACGGATAGATCCGACCCGATTAGAAACTGTCGGGCGATTGTCAACCCGATGATTCCCGCACCCACGATCACGACATCAAATGAATGGGAAGACGCCTTCACCGGTCCTGAACCCGAATAAATGGTGGGTTTAGGTCGGGTTGTTCCGGTTCCGTTGACCGAGAGTGTAAGCTGTTTCGTTGAGATTTTGGAGCCGAACAAGCTTGATTCGAATGAAAAGGAACATAACCGATTAGTGTTGAAAGAAGCGACGCCGTCTTTCATAAAATAGTTAGAGCCTGAGCTTGGGGAGTTAACTGCGATTGAAGCCATGGTTTTTCCTGGTTCTGTTTCAAACTCTTTTTCTCTTATTATTATTATTTTTTCGATGGTAATTGAAGGGAAAAAAAAATGGGCTCTTCATTGTTGGATGTCGTGGGCAGCTTTCGGTTGAAGCCCATCGTATTGTCGTTTTCAATCACCTTTTTCTTTCTTTTGGGTTTTTTTTTTTAAGTAAAAAATTTTTTTGCCCAATCTTTTGATATCGAAAATATTAAATTAAATAAATAAATTTTTTTAATGAATTAAAACTGATTCAATTGTACTATGTTCATGTAAAAAAAAATTAAAATTAAATAAAATACGAAAAAAAATTTATTTAAAATTTGAGAAAAAAATTAAATATAATAATATAAATTAATAATTCATATATTTATATCGTATTTTTTTATATAAAATACATGTAAAAATATCACAATTTTTTTTTTTGCAAAATTTATATAAGACACAATTGTCAAAATATGGATGAATGATAAATTGACAAAATTGTATGAATTAAGCATACATTGGCATCAAATTAATGTCTTCATTATTTTTATTTAATAAAAATATTCAACAATTCCAATAGGTATAATTGCTTTTGTTTTGGCACAATTGAGATAAATTATTTGACATAATTTGAGGGAATTATAATTTGGTACAATGCAGTGAAAACAATCACTGGTTGCTGCCAACATTAAAAATAATAATAATAATTATTATTATTATTATTATTATTATTATTATTAAGAAAGAAATGTCAATCTTAAATTTTGTTACGAGGAATCAACATTTCCTCCCTAGTAATTATTTCATTTCATAACTGTAACAGGCAATTATTTTTGTTACACCACCCCAAATTATAATTCTCCCCCCTCCTCCCTCCAAAATTGTACCTTTAATCAAAAAAGTTTTTGCTTCCTCCTTTCTGTCCTCTCTACAAAACAAAACCTAAAACTGAAATCATGCAACAAATCTAAATATGATAAGCAATAAGGTTTCAGCACATGACAGATGATAAATACTCAAAATCAAGGTGTAAAATGTTAGCATAATATCAGCAGCAGCACAAGGAAAACAATAGCCAATGAGACCAAATATTGGTCAATCTGGCTTGATATGCTCTACCTAAGTTTTCAAATACACAGCTGCAATCCAGGCAATTGATCTATAAACAAAATTTCTGTGTTCCTAAAATGTACTCGGCATCAGGCATGCAATCAATGATCCAGACTTCAAAGGCTGGTATCAAATTAGTCTCGAATTAGTATCAACTCCGACTACAACTTGATGCAAATATAGATATTTCTCCTGAGAAGCAGAAACTTTTCTACGTCATAGGTCGTCCAAGTTAATCATCAAGTCATTGCACCAGGAAATCTCTGATGATTTTGTTTCAGAACCAGCTTGCGAAAAGCAATCAGGAGTTGCAGAGGCTTTGTCTAAGGAACATGCTAAATCTGTCTCCCATAAACCCAAACTACAGGCCCTCTTGTAAGTCTCATAACCTGCTGCCCTTAAGCCTTCTGAGACCAATTCCCTCAATGATCCAGTGATTCCTTCACTACACATTAAATCCATTAAAGCTTGTGATAAATTGGGTCGCAAGAAAACCACAATGGCACAGCTCTTATCAATTAAACAGACATCAAATTCTTCAGAGAAAAGATCATGCGACCCTTGAAGCAGACTCTTAAGCATTCCGGCAGACAACCTATCCCTAAATCCCCACAAGAAAACTAAATCCTCACAGCCTACTTTTCTTGGGCTCTTTGTCCAAATTCTGATACCCCCATCAACTGATTCTTGGGAACTTCCGCAACATGATTTGAAGACATTTGCATATCCATCAAGGAGAGAAGTAGCATTTTCATCGCTCGACTGGATAGCACCAGGAATGATTTTCAGGACAGAGCATAATTTTGCAAACAAATGACATATTCTCACAACATTTTGCCCATGAATCTTGCCTTCATCTAGCGAAGCTGAAAAACCACGATATCAAAAAACATCAATGCAAAGTGTGAACAATAACATAGCCATTCGTAGTTCTTGTACATAACCAAGTTAGATGAGAATGAAAGAAGAAATTGATAAAAATCAGCTTTACAATATAACCAGAAGGACAGGCTAACCTCCATAGGAAATTTCTATGTCAATGGGTGCAAAGAACCGATTCTTGAGGTAAGAAATGGCGGCAGGTATGTTGGTCACTTTTTCTGGAGGTCCAACTTCCTTCATCAGATGGTTAACATCAAATATATGGGGAAAAACCGAATGCAACGAGCGAAGGAACTCATCCAAATTGAGGGGAAGTGGAGCTATGAATTTTGAATGAATAACTGAAAAATCTGCAAGAGCAAGTTATTATTTAGGACTACCATTAATTGAAAACATAACTACTGAAAATAGTGTGAAATTACTAGAAACTTTTTCTATAAAGATACACCATTAAGGGAATTGTGGGAGACAACAGGTTTCTGTGAAGCAGATATCAAATCGATCACCTCTCGAAAGCCTCTTAGCTTCTTGTTTTGTTCCTCTTCTACCTTCTGAAGCTCCCTCTGATAATCAAGATTGACAGAGTTTAGAAAGAACCAAACCACTCACAGAAATCAAGGATTGAGATTTATTTGCTACCTCAAAAAGACTTTTGTCTTCTTTTGAAGTTGTTAAAACAACACGAACTGCCTGGGTTCCACCACCCTTTGTTGGGATTTTCAAAGCAACAAGGTCATCAGAGAACTCTCCCAACATCTATAACCAATAAAGAAATTTCATGGAATTAATAGCAAAAGAAAAGCCCAAAAGATTGCCATTTCTTATAACAGCATCACATGAGATATACTTTTGCAGGACTCCCTTAATTTAAGGATCTTAATCTTTATTAGGTGAGTATACCTCTAACACAAGTTGAACTTGACGTTCACTGCAAACGTCTATTGTCATGCATGGTCTAGATCCATACTGCTCACCCCGTAAGACAAGTTTTCTCAGTGATTTTATAAGAGCCTCTGCCAACAAGAAGTCAACACGCTGAAAAATAGGAAATGAAGAAAAGACACTAAACAACCAAATATCTAATACTGCATCTTTCACCATCTGTCTTTCTGCTTGGCGAGTCTGTGCATGCTTTTTTCCAATGCTTAACACGGGATTTAACCCTTTCTACAAATACTGTGTCAGCAACAGTAGGCGGTGAAGAAGAAGGTTTCATAACATGATTTATAGCCACTGGATTGCCCATTCGAACTTTTGCTACCAACTCTTGTGCTCTGGATAAGTATGATATACCTACCAAAAAATGAAGAAACTCTTTCAGCTTAGCTCAATATTCCACAATCTACAGAGTATTTAGATCCCAATTATGATTCCGTCCAAATTATGTGGTAACACACGCAATACTAAATTTCTTCACTTAGTTTTGTCACTAGTCATCATGTTTAGAACATCAGATCAATATGGGAGGTTTTCAAAAAGCAGAGAGAATAGGATTTTTACCATCATATATACAGGCATTGAAATCAAAACCTTGCCGAGCCATAGCTGTCAAATACGAAGTTTGACATGAAAAACTGTAAGATGGCATCCCAATGTTTAATTCATCCCTTGGGAACAACTGGAAGTTATATCTGCAATAACAATAAAAATTGTACATTATGACCTAAAAAAAACTAAAAATCAAATTTTAAAAACAGAAGTTAATTTTTTTTAACCCAAAATTTCCCATACCTAAAATTTTAATTTCTAATTTTCCAAATATATTAATGATTTATTTCTTTTTTTTCTTCTAAATTTGATTTAATTTTGCAAATAATAATCTTGAAATAATTTTAAATAGCTGAAAATTTTCAAATTTTAACCTAAATTTACTTACTGCAACTTAAAACTAATTTCTTTTCCAAAAATAAATGAATATATATAAAAGGTATAGAACACAGTCAACTCACGGGTGGGCAGTGAGTTTGGAGCCAGAAATGATAAAGGGGCAGACGGCGAACTGGAGAAGCTGGAATCGGTCGGCGGCGCGTCGGGCCTTGAGATAGGCGGTTTCCGGCGTGTCGAAGGAGGAGATGCGGTGCCAAGCGGCGGAGAAAGAGCCGGTGTTCTGGAGGGAAACCGCGACGAAATCGGAAGAAGAAAGGTGGGACTTGAACTCCTGGAGTGAGTCGTTGAAATTGGATTTCGTCACCTGCTTTACGCTCCATTGTAGCCGATGCTGACGGTTGTTTTGGGATATTTTGGTGCAAAACAGACGCCTTTGTATTAAAGCCACCATTTTCTTCTTCTAATTTTGCTTTGATTCGCTGGGTTTTCAGTGGTTTTAGTTTCGGTGTTATGAACTGTGAAGTAAATTTCCATTGGGTCGGGTAACCCGCAACATGGCCCATGTACTGGACCGGGCCAAAGCTTAGGCAACAGGCCCAATAAATTTTGTTTATCAATTTTTTATAAGTAATAGTCGGACGTTATTAACACATGCATATTCAACTTGTATTTTTTTTTCATTTTAATTAATTTAATTTTTTCTTTATAAGTGATCTTTCAAAATTCTAATTCATCAGTCTTTAAAAAAAAATAAAAGAAAATAAAGCTATTATCACTAATAAAAATTCGATAACGTAAATATTACATTTTCATTTTGAAAGTTTCGAATTTAAATTTTAAAATAAATAAGATCGTATTTTATAAGATAAAAGAATTATCTCCAATATGATAACACAATATCACATGTACCAAGAATAAAAAAATAACATAAATATAATATTTTTATTTTTATAAAAATTAATGTCAGTTATGGTTTTTAAAAGGTCGATAGGGTTTTAATTGAATCTAATTCGATTTATAAACATTTTTAGTTGAAGATAATTTATATTACAAGGATATTAATAGAAGATGTTTTATAGTAATTTGAATTGGAGATAAATTGTTTTCCTATGCATATGTTTCATTTACTGGTTTTTAATTAAAATGTTTGTTTGCGTAAATTTAATTAAAATCAAATTTATCACTATATTATAAGTTAATGTTGAATTTTTCGGCTATAATTTAATTTTATTGAATTTCAGTTATTATATTTTCAAATTTGTTGATTTTCGAAAAAAATAACAAAATTTATGAAAAATTTTCATATATGTTAACAAAATTTTTTATGAAATATTTCAATTCCATTATTTTTATTCAAAAATCAATAAAAAATATAAATTAAGTAAAATTGAAGTACGATAATACAATTCACTCTTAGCCATAGTATAATGATGGATTTGACACTAATCTACATAATAAATTGTGCTCTTCTCAATAACAACACTCAAATTAATAGTTGGTCGGCTAAGCAAAATGATGGTTCATAAGTTAATAATAAATAATAATAATATATTTTAATATATTATTAGTAAAATTATTTAATTTGATAACGAAATTAATAAAATAATAGATATCTATTTTTTAAATATATATTAAAAAATATACGTTAACTTATTAATTCATATATAAAATTAAAAAAAATTTACTATCAATATTTTTGATAATTTCTAATAATAATAATGTATGAAATTGAAAAAAAAAAAAACACAAAATTATTGATGGAAATGGCACACTTTGCTCACAAAAATACAACCACTTATTCAGAAAAAGACATGCTTAGGACAATTTTACTTTTAATGTTCCAATTTCCAATTAATGCCCTGAAATTATTGTTTACCGTTATTATTTATATAAAGACAAAATCATCATCATAATTACTCTCCCAAGTCCAATCCTCCCCATCTTTCACATGCCTTGTCCCCCCCCCCCCCTCTTCTTCCTCAATTTTCCCTTCTCAAGTTTAATTTTTTAAAAATATTTATTCGTGTTATAATTATATCGATATAATTATAATCTAAAAATTTTGTATATTATATTTTAATTAACTTACTTTAACTCATATATAATTTATTATTGCATTTCAATTAATTGTATTAACGTTGTTTAATATTTCAAACTCATTTATTAAATTATTAATATTTAAAACATATAAAATAATTATATTTTGTATTATATTTAAATAGATTAAATTTATATAAACGTATAAATTATATCATATCGTATGATCTGTTTTATGTTGTATTAATAAAATTTGTACAATTATTTATTTGTTCTACTTTTATTTTTATACGATTATAACAAAGTAACCAATATTGAATTCTAGTTCAATTTTGTTCTTTTTTTTTTTATTTTCTTTTTGGTGTTTAAGAAATGTAATGGGTTCATGTTTGGCTAAATGTGTCGGTTTTCTTTTTGGTAGCTGAGATAAAAGAAAAAAATTGGTTTGAAATTATAATGTTTAGTTCACTTTTTTATTTAATTTATATTAAATTTAAATATTAAATATATATTGAATTTAAATAAAAAGTAAAAATTGAATTAGATTATATATTTTTATTCTTTTTTTATTTTTTAAATTTTTTATAAAATAAAATTAATTATTTTATACTTAAATATATTAAAAATAATATATAAAAACAAAAAAATTAAATTTAAAAAATTGATAAAACAAAAAATTAAAATTCAATTTGAATTATATAAAAACAAATAAAAATAATTAAATTTAAATCAATTTATATAAAAATTAAAATCAAATTCTAAAATTTTATAATTTTATACATTATTAAAAAAAAAAAAACCTCAGATTAAATTTTATCTCTTATCACCGTTAGCAGTTTTACCGTATTGAAAAGCCCATTAGACCATCATCTATCTACGTGGCAGTAAAAAACTGGTTGAACCGTACGATAGTGAAAAATCCAAACCGTATAGGATAACGGCGAGTGTCCAAAAGAGAGGGGTGGACTTACCACCAATAATTGATCATTCTCCTAAGACACTCTGTACTCAAGCTGGCAACACTGTCTCCTTCCTTCCACTTCCCTTTTCTTCTCTGATTCTTCCCCCATTTTCGCTTCATCCCACATTTAATTTCCTTAAACCCTAACCCTAAATTTCCTCATTGTATTGTAAATACCCTTAAAAAATCCCCCAATCTCCATGCTCTAACACAAAATTCCTCTACAAAAAAGAAGAAAAAAAGAACGAAGAAATTATGATTCCTTTAATTCCTACCATATTTCTTCACTTTATTTTAATCGTCACGGTTGCCAACGGCGAGCAGGATTCAATTTACGAGATCCTAAAGGCACATGGGTTGCCCATGGGGCTGCTTCCGAAGGGGATAACCCGATTTGACTTCGACGATGGGGGCCGGTTTGAGGTCCATTTGGATCAGGCTTGTAATGCCAAGTTTGAAAGTGAGTTGCATTATGATAGGAACGTGTCGGGGACTTTGAGTTACGGGCAGATCGGGGCTTTGTCGGGGATTTCGGCTCAAGAATTGTTTCTTTGGTTCCCTGTTAAAGGGATTCGGGTCGATATTCCGAGCTCGGGTCTTATTTATTTTGACGTCGGTGTCGTTTTTAAGCAATTTTCGTTGTCGTTGTTCGAAACGCCGAGGGATTGTTTGGCGGTTCGAGATTTAGAATTGGTTAATTCGATCCGAGATGGCAAATTTTTGGCTGAAGCAATTGCCAAGGTTCAAATTTTTTTTTTTTTACTTCCTTTACTCTTGATTGATCAATACTTTGTGAAATATAACCTAATTGAATAGCATAATTTAATTTTTTATACAATTTGTAGAGTCAATCTGCGAAACTTCGATATGAACTTGATCAAGAAAATTTTGGGAGGAACGATATGTAGAAAGGTGGACAAAAGAGGTTGTGCAATAGCTCAATCAGTTTAGCTATCAAGCGTTTTCTTAGGGCCCCATGTCCCTCCACGTTGTAAATTTTCGTCGGAGAGTCTGCTCTAGGAGGTCGTTACGCTTCCATCCTGTGTGCTTTGCTTGCGTTTTTTTCTTTATTCTATATGGTGCAGAGTCGTCGACATGCCAAGTCCAGCTGGCTCCTTTCTATGCGAGGATGGCCGATGAGGAGAAAATGAAAGATTGGAATGCTATATTTTCGATGATCTTCATGGTTGGTTTACCCTATGGAAGATAAAATGATGATGGGAGCATTTAGTCGGCGATTTCAGGTGATAAAATCTACGAAATTTTATTCATATGTTAAAATTTTCATTGTATTATGAATATAAGCACGGTTGTTAAATTGAGTCACTTTTTGTTGTAGTCAAAGATTCTAGATTGAGGAGACAAGAACAAGTTCAAGAATCAATTATGATATAAAGTTCAATAATAAAACTTTCTTGCTTCATTTCCATTATTTATTGTTTGGTTAACATTTTAAAGGCCATGGTATGCTTGAATATTGTGTTTCAGCTGTTTTGTTGATTATTTCTAATATTTAGTTTCCCCCTGTTCTGTATCAGTTATGTGTAATCTATATCATGTCACTGATGAGTGAAATGGAGGGAACTATTGGTGGGCGTACTGAGGACATTGTTATTTTATTGTCTTTTTTTTTTCCCCTTTTCCTTTTCTTTAAAGGGACTTACATTGTTATGCTTAGGTAAAAACCTCGGTAGAATCTGTTTTCATTGTCAAGAGTCTGAACAGGGGTTTGTGACTTTGTGTAGGGATGGTCATGGGAATATATTTCTCCCAAGGATTTTGAGCTAGCACTCTCTTCTCCAAAAAAAAGATTGAGTGTACATTTTTTCCTTTTATCTTCTTTGGCTTTGGGTTGGGATGTTAAAGCTTTTGCAAAATTAGTGTTAACTCTTGGGGGCTGTAATGCCATGTGCTTATTTTCTGGGCATGCAATGAAGTAGTGAGAAGCTTTTTGAAATAGCTTATTTTCGTATTTAAGTTAATGGATTTTGGATCAGTTAATATCCAAAATCAGAGAATCACTGCATATGTGGTATACTTCAGTACACATTTCTGCATCATGGAGTTTGGTTAGATTTTCTATATCTGTTAAATGTATAATCTGTCCCTTCTTCATCCTTAATTATCCATCCCCCCCCCCCTCCCCCATGTAAAAGCATGTAGATTGTCATATGAGATAGTAGATGCATACCAATCTTGTAAGCAATCATATCTTCACCTTGAACAACTTGGTAGTGCAATATCGAATAAGAAATTAGATGTGCCTAAGCTATAAGCACTCAAGCTTGGGATGTTTCATCTGAGAATGTTTGAATTGAGTAAACCTGCTATATTGGCCCTTAGGCTTTGCTGATCCTTATCGGATGGCTTTGAACTAGGCCAATGGACCTTCATTAAATTTGTTTGTAAGTTGAACTTTTCCCCTTTACTGCGCCACTTCACTGTTTCTTCTTCATGTTAGATATAGATTTTTTTGCGGCCACACTTTGAAATCGACACTCCAAAAAGCTGACTTTCTTTCATTTCTGATGGGGTTATAGGTTAGGCTAACATGCTTTTCTCTTGAAGTTATTATATCTCAGGTGAACTTGCCATTCTTTTTCCATTGTTTGATCCTGCCTGGTAAGGTGAATTGAATGCATTAGGGTTTCAAACAGCTCAACCTTGAGTTGACATGCTGTTAATGAACCATAGTATAGTCTGTAGAACAAATCTTTATTTACTTTAGAAACATTTTTTTTTCTTTATTTAGTATTTTATATGCTTTGTTGATGTCATGAAATTTTACTATTGCTGGCAATACTGACCTCTGAACGGAGAAAGATTCATTTGGGTAGGGAATGGGTCGGGTGGGGTCACCGGCCAGCTTGGCCGGTTGAATTGTATGTAGCATGTGATATGATCATCAACGCACACACCACATGCCACCTTGTCCTTGGCTGCTTGAGCTGACAATCTAAATCTATGCATATGTAGTAGTATTATTGACAGTAATAGATTAAAGGTTTGAAAGGGTCAGTCTGCATTTTTGTTGGTAGTAAGTATGTTAATTTTTAAATACGATAGGACAATATGTTATAAAAATAATATAATTTAAAATTTTTATAAAAGCCAATTTGGATAAAAATAAAAAAATATATTTTATATTTAATACATAATAATTTTAACATTTTATATGTATTAAAAAAAAAAAAAACACGAATACACATTGTTTTTAAATATTATTATATGTTTGAGAACAAGCCTCCAATTACGGCAGTCAGAACATACCTCTGAAATAGTACTATGTTTTTTTCCTAACTTAAATTTTGTCAGATACTAATATTATTTTACTGAGATATTTCAACGAATTGTTTATATGAGACATTATAATTCTACAGTTCAATTACAAACAAATATAAAAATAATAATAATAATAACAAGAGAACCCAATAGCATAATTAAGGTCAACATCAGAAAATGACGTAACTTAATGGTGCCTTTACTGGTGCATGTCCATTGCAGAATTGTTTTTTCCATTCTAAAGAATCGCTACCCTGCAATTGTAACTATAACATAAAATTTGCATCTTCTTCCACCATTTTTTATGTTCAAATCGTGTCTTAAAAAAAAAAAAAACCAGGGTTTTGTTAACGGTCCTGATAATGATATTATTTATAATAATATTTAATTAATATTATAATTTTTAATGCATTTAAATAATTTTTTTATTAATTAAGTTTTAACTTATAATATGTATTTATATATGTTAGGGGCATTTTTAAACTTAAAAAGTAGAGTAGTTTTTTTCATTAAAGATTATCAATAAATAATTAAAAGTATTTTTAATTTTTGAATCAACTGACTTGATTTTAGAGGTTATATCTACCCAATCATCTTATTAATCTATTTAATAAATCCCTTTTAATACTTATTTGTTATCCTCAAAGTAAACAGTCAAAGTTTAAGTTAGTTCTATCTATCGTATCATATCAAGTTTTAAGGTTTACTTTGGATAAATAATCATGTCTTTTTTTTATAGATTAAATAGGATAATTCATGTATCATTTTAACATCTTATTGTTTTATTTTTTTTATTATCTTTTTCTATTGATATCTAATTTAAATATCGAAACATAACAATTGAAATTATTCTCAATTTTTATTTTTACTTGCTCTTTTTCTCTTTCTTATCAATTTTAAGATTTTATCTTTAAAAAAATAGCTCCGCACAAATAATATATATATATATATATTAATTAGATTTTAAAAATTACATATTGAGTTAGACGCGTAACTCTTGAATTGAAATAGACACAGAGTTAAAGATAAATTAAAATTTAAAAATTACATTTTTATGAATTTGTTGGACTATGTATATTAGAGTTTTACTATTCTTATTTCTTTTGTACAAAAACAAGCGAAAAATTTTTAAAAAAAATTTATGGATAAAAGGACCAAAAAAAAAGTATAAGGGGGGAATCAGAGGATATTTCTAGAAGGAAACAAAGCAGCAAAACACGTGGCTAACTATCGTATTGTTAGTTGGCATACATGGACATGCAGCGCCTTTATCATCTCACCTTTTTCTTAAAGTTTCCAAACTCCAATCCAATGTTTCTTTGACACGTGTCATTGGATTCTCATCGCTTCATTTATTACATTGGACAAGTTTCCCATGCCCTGGCGAAAAAAAAAGTCACGTTTCCTATGGTATCATAAATGGAGTTATTTCATTTGGTATGCCCTCAAATTCAATCATAATTTTGATTGTTTCTTAAAACTTTTTAAATGAGCGAAATATTAATCTTGTTGGGTGATATTGATTAAAGTAATATTAAAAAATAATTAATATATTATTTTTGAATTTAATGAAAATAAGGCATATGATTTTTTATAAAATAATATTTTAATTATTTTTAATCAATATTTATAAACATTCATTATTCAAACCCTTATAATTAATTCATTTGTGCCTTCAAATTCAATCATAATTTTGATTGTTTCTCAATACTTTTGTAATTAGAGAAATATTAATCATGTTCGGTGATATTAATTAAAATAATATTAAAAAATAATTAATGTATTATTTTTAATTTAATAAAAATAATATATATTATTTGTGTCGAGCTTCAACCTCATGACGTCTCTGAAAAAAATAAAAAAAAAATGATAGTCAAAGGCAAATATAAGATGTATTCTTTACGTTTAAAATCCGACAAACAAATCAAGTAGAATGAGGTAAAAAAAAAAAGTAAGAATGAGGAAATGAGACTATGATAAACTTATTTTAATGGTGTTGGAACTTTCATATTTATAAGTGAGCAATAAGATATCATCGAAGGATAATAAAGACAATACTAAATTTATGTGGCACTAATTATGTCAGACAGACCCAACATGTCAAAATGATATAAATGATAGAAATATCTATAATTGTTTGTTGAAGGTTTTTAAAAGGGAAAAAAATTATTATATCATTTTGATCACCAAATACCTTTTAATACATTTGATTTTTTATAAAATAATATTTGTGATTTTTCATAAAATTCAATCATAATATTGATTGTTTCTCAATACTTTTGTAATTAGAGAAATATTAATCATGTTCTGTGATATTAATTAAAGTAATATTAAAAAATAAATAATGCATTATTTTTTTAATTTAATGAAAATAATTCATATTGTTTGTACCGAACTCTCACCTCATGGCATTATTGAAAAAATAGAAAATAATGAAAATAAAAGGTAAATAAAGGATATATTTTTTACGTTTGTATCATGACGCGCAAATAAAACAGAATGAGATAAAAAAAAAAAGTAGGAATGAGGAAATGAGATTATGATTAACTTACTTTAGTGGTGCTGAAATCTTCATATTTACAGTTGAGCAATAGGAGACTATCAGAGGATAATAAAGACAGTGTCAAACTAATGTGACACAAAATATATTAGATTAATTTGACATGTCAGATTGATATAAATAATAAAAATATTCTTAATTGTTTGCTGAAGGCTTTTAAAAGGAAAAAAATATAATTGTATTTTTTTATCACCAAATACCTTTTAACACATATGATTTTTTATAAAATAATATTTTAATTGATATTAATCAATATTTATAAACATCATTATCCAAACCCTTATAATTAATTCATGCCTTTTCCATATTCCAACGGTGAATGCACGACAATATTTTTTTGCCTAAGGTGGCGAACAATTAAATCATCATGTTTAATAAAAAAAATTAATGATTGTATGATACGGTGATTTCAAATTATGATTTTACAAAATGATAATTTTAAATTATTGAAAGTAATTATATTATTATCTCGAAAGGTGATTTGATTTTTATTTAAAAAGATAAAAAAATTTTATTTTATAAAGATGAAATGATTTGTGAAACTAGTTATAAACAATTTTTATGAATTTGAAATACAGTAAATTGATTGTCATTTTAGTTATAATTTGCCTATGGACGCATACAAAAGAAACATGGATGGAGAAATTTGTAGATATGGTTTTCTGATTTAAGATACGGGAAGATTGTAGAAATATGCATAAAATAAAGGACTCCATTGAAAATACCCTTAAATAACTTTGATGTAACATTTTTGAACTCATCATCACCGTCCAATTCCAAACAGATGAAAACAAAGAACACCAACTAAAACTGTCCTATAAACCACCCTAAAACTCCCCTAACAAACTTATATAAATCAACCCCATTACTGTATCTCCCGTCGCCTCTTCTCATTTCGTTTCCTCCAACCTTCATTACTAACTTTCCTTTCCGGCCGGCCACCACATCTCTCCGGAACCGGGCGAAAATGAGCTCAATCACTCCCTTTCTTTCTCTTGCAGCCCCCACCACCACCTCCTTCACTTCGAAACCGAAGCAACTCTCAGTCTCTTCCAAGCCAACGACGTCGTGTTATTGTTGCTATTCGAATAATGGTTTGAAGCTGCGTGGGAGGAAGGGTTATTTTGACATTACCAAAAGAAATGGAGGAGGGCTGTTTGTATTTGCCCGTTCGACTACCCCGTATGTCCGGAGAGTTGGGTGGCAAAGGCTTTCGTTTGGGTATGAAACAGGTGGTGGGGCCACGCAAGTAGCAACGAAGGGTGATTTGTCTCAGGTTTTGTCAGCGATGCTTCCTTTTGTTGTCGCTGTTACTGCTGTTGCTGCTCTTGTTCAACCCTCCACTTTCACCTGGTAAGCTTCTTTGTTTTTAATTTTTCTTTTGATCTTTTTAATCAGTTTTTGATTAATTACATTCTTTAGTATTTCTGGGTTTTCCTTTTTTTTTTTGGAAATTTCACTATTTCTTTTGTATTTCTTGATTTATATATGGTGGTTGTTCATTAAAGTTTCTGGCTTTTTGCGTTTCAAATTCTTGCTCTTTTGACTGGTTTAGCTTTTAGTGTTGAATGGTTTTTATTTTTTCTTTAATGGCTTTTTTTCCTTTTTTTAAATTCTATTTATTTTTTTTTCAAAGTTGTCTTTTTTTTACCAGAAATGCCAATTGTTTATTACGCAATAGACAAAGATTCTGGAATTAACGAATGAAAAATGGGATTGCTTTTACATGTTTGATTTCAAGATCAGGAGAGAATCCAGTTCTCAGCTTAATAATATTTCAAAAATTTGCTATGTTTACCCTGTTTTTGTATGAATAATGATGTTCATTTCCATAAGTTAATTCATTATATCAATGTTTGTAATTGTTTAAGGTAGAAGAAAAATTAGTAAACAAAAACATATATGCAGGGTATCTAAGGATATGTATGCTCCTGCTCTTGGTGGGATTATGTTGTCGATTGGAATTAGACTTTCCTTTGATGATTTCGCACTTGCAGTCAAAAGGTAAAAGTATATATCATGTGCAGTATCATATAGCTGCTAATTATGTTATTTTATCTGTTCAATTTGAAACTTACTCTAGTTTTATGATTTTGTTTCATTGCAGACCTTTACCACTATCTGTTGGACTTATTGCACAGTATTTGCTTAAACCGGCTCTTGGGATTATAATTGCAAAGGCATTTGGCATGTCTCCGATATTTTACGCAGGCTTTATCCTCACATCTTGTGTTGCAGGGGCTCAGTTATCTAGCTATGCTAGCTTTTTGAGCAAAGGAGATGTGGCAGTGAGTATTCTACTCACTAGCTTTACCACCATTGCTTCAGTGCTTGTCACACCTCTTTTAACTGGCCTTCTCATTGGATCTGTTGTTCCTGTTGATGCTGTTGCTATGTCGAGGTCTATTTTACAGGTAATGTGGTGATTGAACAGATATACATTCTCAAGCTAGCATTCCTTTTCTTGGTGAAATGTATAATGCTTTGCTTAGTTTTTCTTGTTAGGTTGTTCTTGTTCCTGTCGCTCTTGGGCTTGTGCTCAATACCTATGCAAAACCTGTCATCGCTATCCTCCAACCTGTGATGCCTATTGTTGCTATGATCTGTACTGCCTTGTGCATTGGTAGCCCTCTTGCCTTGAATAGGAGTCAAATTCTTTCAAAAGAGGGTCTACAATTGGTTCTTCCTGTTTTGACATTTCATGCTGTGGCATTCGCTATGGGATATTGGATCTTAAAAATTCCTGCTTTCAGGTAATTTAAAACTTGTGTATGACATTGATGTATGTTAGAAATAGTCCTACTTCGGTTTATTTAAGCATCCATGTCACCTATTTTGCTTGATGGAAGACTAAGGGGATAATTCTGTGTGAATGGATCTTTTATATTGGCCTGGTATTGAGGTTTGATACTTTCGTGGTGTCTGCATTATGTTTGTTAGATATTAACTTATGAAGAGGGCTTTGTTAAGGATAGTGATGTTATTTTCTGTATAAGATTGGTCTCTGCCATACTTTGGCATCTATAAATAATGTTTTGCATTTGCTTGTGTTGAATCAAGCTTTTGTCTGAGGAATGACAGGTTCCCATTTTCTTACATATAGAACCGGAATATAACAGTTGCATGTCATCAGGTTTCTTTTTTTTTTTTTTCTCTTCTTTGTTTCTTAGGTTTGAGAAAATATCAGGAAGTGGGTAACCTGAGCCATCAAAATTCTGGAGGCTATCCATCCATCCTTATCGTCATGATCCCCTTATACCATGCTCATAAAATTTAGACCAACACCAAAGGGCATTAGGATAACAATGTCACCTTTAAAACCAAATATAAGCTGTGACCACAATATTTTCTTTGTCTGATTGATCATTCCTGATATCTATTTCAACGTAACAGAAGAAATTTTCTGATTTTGCGGAAGCATATGAAATTCATTAAATTTCACACATTTAGCAAGACTTCTTGTGGAGGAGTGGCTTGATCAAGCATTGTGGTTTTAGGACATTTGGTGGATAGCGCAATATGATGATTGGAGCTTTGTATACTACCTTTCTTGGGTAGCCTCAGAATCTTTTCTTATTTCTGTCTATTTCATGCCTTTCCAAGTTTTCTTTCAATCTCCAAGGGCTTTTTGTTTTGAACATGACAAAGAAATGTATGCCAATCTGGCAGAGAAGTTGCCATTCTGATTCTTTAATGTTCCCTTGATTTTCTTGCAGCTTCCCTTAATTTGTTTTCCCCGTGAATCTGTTTTTACTTGCTTTTTTTTTTTTAATCCAGACCATCTGATATGAAGTGGTTCTTGTACAGGCAAAGAGAAGAAGTTTGCCGGACAGTTTCATTATGCGCAGGAATGCAGAGCTCCACCATGGCAGGGCTTCTTGCAACCCAGTTCCTCGGAGGTAGTAGTCAAGCAGTTCCACCAGCGTGCTCTGTTGTTGCCATGGCTGTTATGGGTCTTTCTCTTGCCTCTTTCTGGGGCAATGGTTTCCGTATTCGAGACCTACCATCACTACTCATCCCATAAACTGGCTCTGCTGTCCAGGCTTAATGAAGCAAAACTCGAAACATCTTTGGGGACTGAAACAAGCTAATTTTAACGTGCAGAGAGAGATGGTCATGTTTTAACTGATCCTCACATGAACATGATCCTCCTCGCAATGGAACAGCAATAATGGATCCAGCGCAAGCCGGTCAAAAATCAAAATGTTGTACGGTAGTGAAAAAAGAAATAAACATAGAAAGCGGAAAAATGACTGTACCTAGGAGTTACTATAGTTAGAAAGGCGCTTTCTCTAGCTTCACCTTAAGGCGCTAACGTATGTATGTATAGTATAGATAAGGTATATAAATCACAAAATATTGTGCATCAATCTGGATGTTCAGTCTCCCTTTCTCTCTCATTGCCACACTCCCAAACATTCACTGTATCCAGGGGCAGGTCATAGTGTTTCTTGCGCAGAAACGATAAAGTGCTTTTAGTGGACGAGTTTTTAAGCTTCTCCATAATGAAGTCTCCTATCAAGTCCATGACAACAGTTGGGTTAAGTTCGGCTTGATTTTGAGACATGGATTTAACACAGGGCTTACTTTGGTCACTTTTTTTTGTCCCAATGGCATGCAGATTCATGATATGAACATAGAAAGCCATGAACAAAGTTAAGACGCTGTTCGCCCAATCCGACCTAATACATTTTATTCATGGGAAAATTGTCAAGAAGTCATTGGACAACAGTTACCAACAGCTCAAAGCCACAAGTTTAGGTTCTTCATCTGAATGGGGGTCAATTGGCATGTAAGACAGAACAAGATTAACAACCCAAAAGCAATTGGTCACTGTCAGGTTTTGAACTGTGAGGGTTTGAATAGAAAATTTCTGCTCCATTCACGTTCCAAGCATTCCAGTGATGGGAGAATATGGTGGACCCTGGAATAAATTTCCAATTTGGCACCGCAATTATGGGCTACAAAAATGCTGTTTCAACTTTCAAGCATATATTTTCATCTAAAAAGATGAGTTGATTAGCCACTGACATGACCTTTTTTCTATATTGAGCTGGACTTTTTCCTGTTGCTTACTATTTGCATGGACATGATTGATAAGCTGTTGAAATATTCTGATATTCGTTTCCGACACCGTGATATGCAAAAATCAAATCTCTAGCTGTCTGGAAAAACAAGACCACCCCATCTTCTGTCTCTCTTTCCCTTTTGTTCTTCCGAGAGCTATCCTCGTCATTACCAATACAACCTGTTGAGATCCTGCCATTGTTTCTGCTGGTTCTTGAACTTGTCATTACCACTTATCTTGGGTTAAAAATGGTCGTTTGGAGAAAAATAAGGGAAATTATCGATCGGACCAGAACTCACCCTCAGCGCTTCGAACAAAGTTGGCAATCTTTGGCCAGGTAAGTTCCTTAAATGCTCTCTCGCAAAGTAGTAGTACTATTGGGTTTGTTGTGGCTTGGTTGTTCCTTTCATCATTACAAAGCTTCTATACTTAAAAGCTTGTTTCATGGCTTCATATAAAGAAAATGACTTACATTAAATTTTATAAACGAAATTCATGAAAATTTTTTTATTAAAATGAGTAAATAAAATTAAAATCGATAAATTAAAAAAAATCAATCATGTAAAATTTAAAAAAATTTGAAAAAATTTTAATATATTTATTAAATAGATATTTTTAATAAAAATATTAATAAAATTTTTATCATTAAATAAATATCAGTAAAATTTAAATTATAAATAATTTTTAATAATTTTTTCATATTATTTATTTATTTTTAATAAAAAATTTTACGAACTTTACCTATACAATTTCATGTAGATTTTGTCATCGTATAAATGTGTACTATCCATAGGGCTCAAGAAAAAAAATTATGATAAAACATAAATTATATTATTATAATATTAAACTTGCACAGAACACTCCAAATGTGAAAAGTCAAAATAATAAAGTAAAAATTATTAATACTCATTCTTTTCATTTTTTTTCCTCGGTTATATTGTAATATCATGCAATATATAGTAACTTTGAATCTATAAGGATTTTGGAATCATTTAATACCATGTGAAATCTTAATATTTTTCATAAAATATATCTTTTTATATTATTAATATATATGCAAGAACTATATTAATAAAAATATAAATTTTAAAATTATCAATTTAATCAATTCATAATTAAATAAATATATAAAACATATAACACATCAAATAAATAATTTTACTTATGAAAGATTTTCTTTTAGATAGAAAAATAATAAATAAATTGATTATTAAAATTAAGTTATAAGGTCTTATAAAAAATATAAAAAATTAACAATTTCAATTTGGGACGACCATTTTATTTAATAATATATATTAGGGATTTAAAATTATCCCTCCCTAGATCCTACCATCCTCAGCCCTGTATGTAAGGAAAGAAAAAGGATTTATTGCTCTTTAACGAGACAAGAAAATATTATATGAGTGTCGAAATATATATTTTTATTTAAATTATATTATATAATTAAAAAAAAATTAATTATTATATATAATAATTAAATAATAAATATTTATTTTAACATATTTATACGTGTGATGTGTAATAAATGATTGATTTTTTTTTTGTTAATTTAATTTTATAATATGATTTAAATGAAAGGGACATATACTTATGAAGAAGTTTTAGTGAAAGTAATAATGTGATTATAGAAGATGTTATTATTTTTTTTAATTTTGATTTTTTCATCCAAATAAAAAAGTCAAAATATATCACTCTCTTTTATCAATAAGGGCTTTGTTTTATATATATATATATTATAAGAGGAATGTACCCAAATTAAAAATTCATATAAAAAAATGGATTGAGTTAAGATTTCGAACCAATTACACTATCTCTCACTCACGAAAAAGGATTGTATGAAACAGTTATGCCATATCATTATATATCTATTTCATTTAAATTATGTCATATAATTATATCATTAAAAAATTAATTATTTATTACACGACAGATGTTATAAGTAAATGGTGAATATTAATTTTAATAAATAATTAATTTTTTTCGATAATATAATTATGTGATATGATATACATGAAAGATAAATTTGCTCACACGTAACTGTTTCATACAATCATTTATCTTTATCCAAATAACTTAAGTCCGAGAATATTGTGAAGTTTTTATATTTAATTGGACTTCATTGCTTGAAAAAATTCTACCAATTCTTATAAATATATAACATGATTTATTCTATCAACAAATTTCTTATAGATTAATTGTTGAATTACTAGAAAAAAGTGGGACAAAAATCATGATGAACTAAAAATCAAATACTAATGAATACAAGTGTTATTTTACACACTTTAAATAAAGAAAAGTTATAACTTCTCATTTAAGAAAATAAAAATAAGAATAATCTAACTCGAAATTTAATTATTTTGAATCTGTATTCATGAAAGTTAATAAGTGAATTTTGATAGATAAAGTTTAGAAAATAAAACTATTTTAAAGAAAAATATTCCATTATTGAATTTCATACCTAATGGAACCCCATCTCACAAACTAGCTATAATTTGCTTCAACAACCATTAAAATTTCCAAATTCTTTGAAGAATGTTGTTGCCACATAAAAAAATTTCAATGTTAAGGGAATCCAACCCATCATTGATGTGCTAGTTGTCAAAAATCTTTTAGTAATCCTAAAGCAATTCTAATTAATTTTGGGTTAGATTCCTCTTCAAACAAGGTATCAGAGTTAGGTTATCTCGTCAATTCTTTTTATTTGTATACCTAAGCATATAATCAATAGACCATTCATTATTCTTTTATTCCTTTTTCTCTTAATTAAATTTTTATTGACATATAAGTTGTCTTTTGATCAAAATTTGCCACAAAGAATCAAACATTTTTTTTTTTGCACACAAGGTGAAAAAGCTTCATTTGCAATCAGCTTTTCTTTTACTTACATTTACGTAACGATCAAAACATGTATATATATATATTTATGAAATTTAATTTAAAAAAAATTAAGTGTCTTTTCTCTTTTACGTAAAATTCATGAAGTTTCTATAGGAAATAATTAAATCGGTAATCAAAATTAATTGTTGTTTTTAATATAATGATATTTATTTATTCCACAAGATTCATCGACCTATCATTTTGATATTCAATTTAGACTTCATTTGCAAGATCCATAAAACTCTAAATTCAGTCAATAATATTATAAACTTGATATTAGCCAGGATATCTTTTAACATTTTACGTACGGATCATAGGTTCTTCCCTCCATCAGAACAATATATAGGGTCGTAATGCTCACTGCTGTTAGCATAATGTTCTAAATTTTTTTATGTATTGCCCCTTAATTTCCACTCAATGTCCACACAAAAATAACAGCAACCCTAATTTGAGAAAAATAGCCTTTGGGTAAAGGTGTATGTTTTGGGGGATTTTGTAAAGTATCCCTTTGGTTTGAGAAAATATTTTTTGTTTTTTATTTTTTAGAGAATAGTTTTTATTTTTTATTTTTTAAAAAATATATTTGGCAAATGAAAATAAAAATTATTTTTTAAAATATAAAAATATAAAAATAAATAAAATATTCAATAATATTACTATTAATGTCATTTAATTATAAATATAATTATTAATTATTAATTAATGATGTTAAAAAGTGTTTAAATATGAAAACTTACAAAACTCAAGGAAAAAAGTAATATACATCCATTGTTTTCATAATTGAAAACATTTTTTAAAAACTTGATTTTATTTTCAATTACCAAACACGTTTTCAATCATATTTTTCATTTTTTTGAAAAATTAAAACAGAAAATGGCTCTGTTTTTTGAACTTTTGGTTTCAGAAAGCAAAATCATTTTTTGTTTTTATTTTCTTGAGTAATTGAAAATAAAAATGAATAAAAAAAAACTAAAATGGATTAAAATATTAAAAAAAGATGTTTTCAATTGTAAAAATAATGAATATACATTAATTACTTTTTTCTTTGTGTTTTGTAAGTTATCATATTTGAACACTTTTTAATATCATTAATTAATAAATATATATTATATTTATAATTAGATGTCATTAATAATAATATCATTGAATATTTTATTTATTTCCTTTTTTTATTTTTAAAAAATAATTTTTATTTTCATTTACCAAATACATTTTTTAGAAAACAAAAATAAAAAATGAAAACTATTTTTTAGAAAATAAAAATAAAAAATAAAAACAAAAAACATTTTCTCAAACCAAAAATTAGTTTCTTTGGCTTTTTCCCTTTTTTTTTTTTTTCTAAAAGCTTTTGTTAATTACAATCTTAGATAAGGAAATTTTGTTTTTTCAGCTTGTCATACTATGATAAAATCAGTTCATTTTCTAAGAGAGAGAGAAAAGAAAATGAAAAATGATAATTGATCAACCAAAAATTGTAGAAACCCAGAAACAAGGAAAACAAAAACCCTCAATTAACAGGAAATGACTCCAAATTATATGTAAAATAGAAATATCAACAACTATACAAACAGTTTATAAAAAAGATTAAAAAAAAAAAAAACCCCAATATGTATCTGACAGAGATTGTGCATGCAGTGTCTTCATCACTTAGTACTCACCGTGTGTTTAAAAACTATTTCAGCTGCCCATATATCTGCTCCCTAAAGAAAATGGACAATCATCTATGTATAAACCATATTTCCTTTTTCAACAATATCTTCCTCTTAGATTTATATTAATATATATATATACTCAGAGAGAGTAGAAATCGACAATTTTTCTCATCAACTGTACCTGGGTGGTAAGGCACTTTATGTAATGTGCAGTCTCATCCAACAAGTTGCATAAATCCATGGCTTCACCACCTGGAACAAGCTCTCTTAGCTTATCTGCTTGCCCCACAAACCTATCCTGATGATCTTCCTCAGTTGTTGTCTTGTTTTCTATTTCATGACTTGTTTTTTTCATGATGGCTTGACGAGAAGTAATAGTACTAGTCTTGACTGATCTTCTGCGCCCTAAAGATGCCAATTGGAGACAAGACCGGCTTCGAAGCTTCCAAAGCGTTGCCCTACTCCAAGTTCTCCTCGACCTAACCGAGGACGCCATGGACTTGTCAGCTGCAACCTTAATTCTTCGATAACGTTGGAAGATCTCTCTGGGAGAAGATGGTGAGATGGGTTTCCGAGCATTTATTCTAGTCAGAGCCCGAAGGAACCTAGTGGTGAACCTGGATTTCAGAGAACTACTAGGGTTCAGGTGTGAAGAATTCATGTGGGATGAACTAGGGTTTTGCTTTTTGGGATATGGAGATGGATAAGAGATATAACTAACTGCCGTAGGCTTTGCCTTTTTTGGATGGATCAGAGGACAAATGAAAAACTAGTTGGGGTGTGGGAATTGAAGAGAGATTTTGTTTTCTGACACAGAGGGGCCAGTTGCCCAGAAACAGATTCTGACTTCTCTGACACAGTATCTATATAGACCAACCAGACAACAAGAAAGTAGACAGAGATGTGGCTATGGGAAATTTTTCTCTGTGGCTATGGGAAATTTCAAGAACAAAAACATGTTTGTGAGAGGAGAATGAAGGGATTGGAAATGGGAGGTGTAAAGAGGAAGGAGACTTGGGAATCAACCTTTGATATATATATTATTGTTAATATTACAATTGAATTATACGTTTATGCTTTCGTTTTCAGTTTGGGGTTTTGGAGGTGGGAAAGTGAGTTTTGTGGGGCTGAAATACCCAACCACCATATGAACGCACATGGTTCCATTTTTCCCACTTGGATTGTAGGGCCTCCCCTTTCTTTTGGTCTTTCATCTCTCATTCATTTTGCTCTGTGGTGAATCTTTTGTTTTTTCAAGTAACTAAACTTTGAATTAATGCCTTATTTCTGCTTAGAAACATATAGTGCTAAGAATGACAGTGACCCATATGGGTCTTAATTGATGATGGTGGTGAATATATATGGTGCAGCGCAGCAGCAGCAGCAGTCGACAGTGCTCGACATGGAGTCATGTGTTGAGAGTGGCCAAATCACACAGACTATACAGAAGGGGTTATGATCAATATATCAATTACTCGATCCATCGTATGTTAACTCAAATTTGTCCTAATTAATTATCTCTCATTCATTCAACCCACTAAAAAAAGTTCTTCCATCACAAAGTTGTTTGAACAGTATTAATTTGTTCTTATTACCGTT